CGCGATGCCACTATTAATCCAAAGCGTGGATTATCCACGCCGGTTTTGCCTGCCTGCCTGCGCATCGTGAGCTGTAATTAATTTTATTGCCAAGTTGTGTTTACCTGATGTGAAACAATATACATATTCTCGGAGTACGAACCAAAGCTGAAATGCTGAAACGGAAATTACCGGAATGCAACGTTTCATTAATTCTAATCATTCAATTCGAACAAATAACGCGATTTCCGGACATTTTAATTTATGTTCGCGATAATCAAACAGCATTGCTCGTGCCGGAGCGACTTTGGCGTTAACCGGCCGTGGCAGGTGCGGGCGGGTCCCGAAATGCTGAAAACCTGCAAAACGGAAAACATTGCAAATATCCGTCAGATTGCGGCGCGCCGGTTCTGCATATTTCATTCCCATGGCGCGCTACACGGCGACCGCCGCCGCCGTCACGAATCGCCAAACGCGGACGCCGCCACCCTAGCCCCCAAAATACCTAATAGAATACTATTTAATTAACGTTAGCGCGCCGGCATAAATCAACGGGGAAAGCAATTAACCGCCCGACGCCCTAGTTATTATCGAGTTTGTATTTATGAAAAATAAACAATCACGCTATACCTGCTAATTTTGTGTCGCCGCACACCAAACAATACCCTTTCAAAACCACCCGCCAAACATGCGAAAATTTAAAAATTTCCAAAACACCAACTCAAATTGTTTACATAATTGGTAATTTATTTAATATTTAAAATTGCAAACCACAATTCAAAATATTACAGTATTTGGCACAGCGTGACGTCTATTTATAACAGAAAATTTAATATTTGTTACACGCGGTAAACTAAATTCGGTGTAACAATCTTTTAATCAAAATTTATAAAATCGCATCGTGCAGGTTTGTGCTCGCGCGTCGTGGTCCCGCGTTATGTGCGCGATAAATTGCAAAAATGGTAGCGCGCTCCGCAGCATTGCCGAAATTACGGTCAGGAATGCAAAAACGCTGGTGGCGCTCTCCGAGCGCACGCAGCTCATGTTCATGCATGGAATTTTGTACAATATTTAAGGGATCATCATGTGCGCACGGCCCCCGATCGGCCATAGCACCCGCTTCCTTTGTCTCTATGACAACACGATATCAAAAGCCAACAAAATTGGAAATCATACGCAAACATTGTAAATCAAAGAAATATTTTATGCATAGCTTCTATTTGATTGTGTGGCATTTTTCGGTTGAAATAATTGAATTGTAGCATAAGACAAACAAAAAGCAGCATGCACGAGGTGTTTTTTGCATTGTTTGGTAAATAAATGTTATCCTGCGACCGACACACGCTTCTATCATTTAATTAACGTCCGAGTGGCGTTCGATTTTTTCATAGTGTCGAAAACATATTGCAATGGCAGGAAATAGATGAAAGAAGTAAATGAGAGAGCATCGTGATGGTCCAGTGCTTCGCGTGTAGTGCGAAAAGTAGTAAAAAAAATGATGACAGCAGAAACAACAAAAAACGCGCGTGCGGAAAAAAAGGATCTAAGAGAGGAGACAAGATACAAAAGTAGTAGCTCTATTTGTCATAGCGCTAAAGAAATTTTCACGTAAGTTAGTTTTGGGTGTTTCGGGATATAATGAAAACTTGGAAATAGCATTGCCAAGGTTTTTTACTATAGGCAACCAACTATGGCGTAAATATTATATTAAATGTAAATTATTGTATTGTTGGTTGCATATCATAGGGTTAATTAAACATTTAGGCATTTTATTTATAAAAATAAAGTTTGGAGTCAAAAACTATCCGTAATGACCAAAAATAGTTTTTCTAGTTAAACTAATTAATTAGCATGCAAATTTCCGCCAGTTTGGTTTTCACGAATGCGCTCTAATCAAGCGTATTCATTTACTCCGCCAATCCGCCGGCTATTGTGTGCGCCGTGAAAGTTTAAAATATCTTTGCACAACATCGATCAGTATGCCGCTCGCTTCCGGCTGCATTGTATTTTTTGCTCGGTCGGTGTCGATTCGTTTTGCTGTCCAATTCGCTCGCTCGCATTCTGTCTATCCAAACCCGATGTACCTTAACCGGTGTTTCTCCGCACGTTTTCTCCGGAATTTATTGCCAGTGTCTGGCGAAACGCTCTATTGTTCCATATGAAATATCGAAACTTTTTATCCTTTGGAGATCCAGCGCGTATCGTTCGTTGCGATCAAAAGTGCTGCGTACTGCGGACTGTGTTTAGAACCACTGGTCTAGAAGAGAAAAACACAGTGCACATACTTTCGTCAATCCCATTCAATCAAACTCTGTGTATAAACAAAGCGAATTTGTATACAATGTAACGTTTTGCTGGTTTGTGCATTGAACATTTGCTCGCGCGTTTTTATTTTTTGATAAACGTGTTCAGGCCGACTGGCAAGTCAATTATGAGGAGTAATTTTGCTTTGCCTGGCATACTGCAGCATGAAGGCATCAGACACGCGAGTTGATGTTGGTGCATAATAACAAAGAAAAACCGTTAGTTGTGATTGCGCGATGAACATGCGGTGACATCGCGCACAACCGGAGCGTTTTTATAATTGAATGCAACGTTGGCCATTGCCGGTTGAATGTGGTGACAACGCGCATCCAGGTTACGCTACACGCGAAAGCATGGAAACCCACTGAAGCCTGCTGAAACTGAACATGCATAGGAATTTATATGAGGGCAGTGTTGGCATTTCAACGTAATGAAATTGAGTTTGTTTTTTTCAACATGCAGCTGCAGAAATAATAAGCCCTAGTCAAATGCACCATTTCCATGGCGAATATAACAACGCTTAAAATCAATATTTTCTGAAGGAGCGGATTTCTCATTTTGGATTTTCTAATTGCGTCTCTGCGTCTGATGCGGCGAATGCGTGTTTTCGCGAGTACAGATGAGTGCACAATCCTGGGGCATTCGGGCGTATTCCTCTCACGCGCTGGGCGATAATTATCCATGCCCCGAAAAAAGTTTGCCTCTGAAATGTTCAGACAAATAAAAAATATTTTTAGCGCGCTAATCTACATTTACTACATTCATATTCCCGGCACATAAATATCTAGATTCTCATCAGTGCTGCACGCGGAATGTACGTTTTAAAAGTTAATTAATAATAAATTAACTATATGCGAATTACAATAGAGATGGATATGTTTTGATCGTCGCTTTTATTATCATCGTCGTGCACAAACGGCGCGGCAAATTGTGTTGTGTTATGCGGGGGCACGATTTTCGATATTTATGAAAATCGAATTTAAATCGCCAATGTGATATAAAATGCGGAAGCGGTTGCAGTTGTTGGCGACAGCTGTTGCCGATTTGTACAGTCAAATTTTATAACATCGAACGCAGCCAGCCAGGTTTGCATGGCAATGCGATAATATTTCCGCTCGTGGTTTCCGAAAGCAATTTTTTTCACTTCACTCGCATTGTTTCGTGGCACGATTGGTGCAGAATGTTTTATCGATAGGATGCATATGCAATTATTTTATAGTCATGTCAATTAAAGGCCTGCGCGGGGGTAATATTTGCACGTAAATGTAAAATGTTTGCAAATAAAACAATTTTTAATTCGGAACAAAATAGATCTATTATCGGAGTAAATGACAAGCGGGCGAAAAACGATTGCAAATTGATTATTTATGTTTCCTGGGGTTATACACGGTGATTTTAATATTTAATGATAGTGTTATGTTGGTTATTTTAGTAAAAAAAACAAAATTTGTAAAAAAAATTATTTTTGTTAATTTTTAAGTTTTGCGTGTGTCTATTGTACTAAAAATGGCATTTTTATAAAGAGCAGGTTATAATCTTTATATGTTATCTCAAAAAATACGTGTAAGCATAAAAAAGAAGCACATTCGTGACAAATATTCGTAGAATGCAATAATTTCCAAGGGTCATTATCACAACAAGGCAAAAACAGACCGCATAAATTAATCTCGCTCAAAAGCGACCATTGAAAACAACAAGAAGTGAGTATGGAAATTTTCTTTGTTTTTGTCGCCCTCCGCCTAGTGTTACATTTGCAACGCCGAGTGTCATATAATTTAATTAAAAGCCGACGTTTATTAACATTTTTCCAGGCGTTTCAGCAGAATGTACGCGCGGGGCGCAAAAAATAAGTCGGTAATCACGGTTTTTTAAGTACATAATCTCGTAAATTTTCATATTTTATGAGCCGAATAAAGCCGTGCCACGCTGGCCAACTTAGTTTCAACATTTGGACGTGGAACTGATGGCGCAAATAAAAAGTTATGTATGGAGGACGCGAAAAAAAAGGAAGTGCACACCGAACCGACGATGAAACTAAATGGCATACAGGCCTTCTTAAACGCAGAATGTATAAAGCCGCCAGATAAGTGGAAAAAGAAAAGTTGGACGGATGATGGATGTGGATGATTTGGTAGCAGGCGAAAAAAAACTAACTGAATTTCATATTGTAGTTTTGCTATTCTTCTCACATGCAGTAATGTCTCTGGGGTGCTACTATCGTTCATCGAAAACGCCATCAAATACGCACGTTTTTCTAATATCTTGAAGACTTTCTCAAATTTTTAAAATAAAATAAAAATATTACCAAAACTATTGGTGATATCATTCAATGTCAAGCTGCTGGCAACTGTGAAAATATTTGAACTGAGAGTAAATCCATATTTCAGTTCATAAATATTAATGCAGATGTATCGACATATTAATCGAAAATGGATTTCACATGCAAGCGAAACTTTGGCGCTTGAATCTCTATTGCTTTCGCGATAAATCGGGCGTGCGAGGATATATCGAACGCACACATACTCCTAGCCAGCGCATCTCACTACCATTGGAAAACGGGGGTGAATAAGCATCCTGCCGGCAGAGATTGCCGCCGGGGGCGGCGGAAGAGACACGCGCGCACAATACAACAAAGCTGATAAAATCTTATAATCGTATATAAATCGTTTTTTTCATTTCTCCGCTCATTCGCTCCTTTTTTGCTTGTGTGTTTGCAGGTGTATTGCTGGTGAAAGGGGGAGTCCAGAGCGCCGGCGGAAGCGGCTTAAATGTACTTCCCGAGAGTGGCACACTATCGCCGCTAGGGTCCCCATCTGCACACAACCGCTTCGAGCCTCAGTTCGATACAATGATACCGCGAAACGTCACTGCGCTAGTCGGCAAGTCGGCTTATCTCAGCTGTCGAGTTAGGAACTTGGGAAATAAAACGGTAAGCCCATTTTCAGATAATATCTCTTTTTGTTTTTCCTTCGAATTGTTTGCCGCCCCGAAACCCACCCCGGCAATGCATGGAGTTGCGTGCGACAGTGCGTGGGTGGGTTGGGATTGGATGTGTGCGGTTTGTTCTTTTGTTTTATTAGTTTCGCCCGCTTGATTTGCCCGACCGCTGGCCAATTTTATTTTTTATTACGCACCCCCACTCGACAAAGTTCAGCGCTTCGGACACAGAGAGAAAAAAAAAACACACTTAGCTTTTGCGGTGTGTCTGTATCTAAGCGCTAAACATCGAAACGATCCATTTGACTTATTGACGTTTCAAGTTTGCCCTCCGGTCCGAGCGCACCGTAATGGGCGTTAACGAAGTTGAAGTTGTTGGCCGGCTACCGGCGCGTCGGTGTAAAATTATCCTATTTATCTCGGACAAACTCCTTAATGGCGGCGCGGTTCCTGCTGTTCCCGCGTTGCCCAGTCACGGACACTCGCGTCGCTCGTCCAACCGTATCGCTTTCAGTGGGTATAAACTTAATAGCGCAACTGCATCGGTCTAGTTTTAATGTAAATAACAAAACTGAACGGGCGCACGTATAACGAGGGCGACGCGATATACATCACCTCGTCGTCCTTTGTGGACGTTCCGGGCACATCGACGAGTTTTGAGTACCTACGATCGGCGAACCCAAATTTGGTTAACCCGAACTTTTGTCTCTCGTTTGGCGAACTTCTGCATGGCGAGTATTTTGCGTTTATATCGAGTTTATAGGTTTTCCCGATATTTAGCCAAACAAATGAAGACAACGTTCAGATGGGGGATAAGCCGGAATGTCTTGTCCCCGCTCTGGTTGTAATGAATGCGGGTACGAATAAATCCTATCGTCGGATTTGCGTTTCCGCCGAAAACAAAATGCGGCGAACTTTACCGAATAATACACAAGGGTATTCGAATCGTAATCAACTAAAGGGGACCATTTACAATCATGAATAATTATTTATTTCACATTTTAGAATCTGAATGAACTTCAAATTCTCTTCAAATGAAAGATTTTATTATGTTAAAATGTTTTGCAATTTGTTTATGAATATTCAAATTCAAAATTTTGTTTTTTGCTTAAATAAATTTTAAAATCAACATAAATGTTTACCATAGATAAAATACAGATATGAGCATTTTTTAAATTGTTAATAATCGAAAATAGCAAAAAAGGTATGAAAAACAAAAATCAATACCTTTAATTGCTTCCCAAATTGGAAAATCAAAAAATGCTATATTTACATCAATCGATGAACGGTTGATAGGTAAATTTCAAAGCGTATTTTTAGTCTCTATCGGCTGATTGCCTCCAAAAAAAAATACCATGTTGACTTGCGACTTGTCATTAAATTAAATGCAAAAGCAAACAACATAAATCCCTGTTTTCGATACGAATCATTATTTTGGTATTGATTTTACCCGTATGACGAATAATTGCAATCGAGCCGGAAGCGCTGATGCGAAGTAGTAATAATTGCGCAAAGTTAAATTTAGCAATCGATATTATTGAAATAAATCACGCCGAGCGTGGTGATTACTTTGCGGATGTGATTCCCTTGGGGTGTTTTATAATTTATAGCAAAACAGTTAGTGAAGTTGAAATGATTGATTAAGCCGAATCGCGTCGCAATAATCGCGCATTCGTCAAACAATCTACATTATATTCCCGCGCGTGGCGTAGCCTGGTGAAGACATTATGAGGCTTGTATAAAGTTGGGTAAAGTATGCGGCTGAAACAATTAATATCGCGGCGACGTGACGCGTCGGCGACGGCGTTGTGTGTTAACGGCTAACGACGCTTTGCCGAACAGGGCGCGCAGTGTTTAGCAAGCGTAACGAGTTCATCCTTCCGATGTTAATCCCCCAGTCATTGAAAGCGCAATAACGTTACGAGTGCGCGTACAGCCGCCCCCGCCGCGGCCAGCATACGGATGGCTTCCGCGACGAAGACGAAGCAACGATATCCGCAACCCCGCTGATAATACACAGCCAGTGTAGGCGGTGATTTTCACCCGCTGCGCGGTACAAGAAGCGCTGCTTCTTTTCATTTACAACTTCGCGCACACTGCGACACGCTTTCAGAATCGCGCTTTTTCCTTGCGAGATACACTCGATTGCGACGTGAACAAAAGGCCGGAGCGTAAAGCTTCAGAAAATGCACTTCCCCAACGGCATTGTCGACTTATCCCGACGATTATTCAGTCGAATAACACAATATTTCGAACGCGCGCACATACAATCAGCCGGATTTGCTATGTTGCGCGCTGGGGAAATTCAAACAAACATTTCAAGGCGCTGCTTTGCAGTCTTTGTAGCGAATTTCTCCGTGAGGTATATAAGAAAGGTGAGCCGTCGTAGGGCGGCCATTAAACTTTCAACGCCTGTCGCTGCGTCGGTTTTAATTGCGCCTAAAAGTTCCCTCCTGCGACGGTAAGTGGAGCGAACGCATTGTTATTCAAATGAAATTGGTTTAATTCCGACAGCGGACGGGCAGGGAATCGTGCATTCGTGCCGGCTGACAAATCGTCGACGGCTTGCTGTTAAATCGGGCACAATATTGCCAACTACTGCACGGTCCGGCTGTCCGATCGTTATCGCCGTTAACACACAGATGGACACCGCAACCGTCAACACAAAGCGCAAGCAGAATGTCCCTTCACTGCGCCACTGCCACCGCCTCAGCCACCGCCTTTACCATCGTGCTGAAATGTTCATTCTTTAGCTTCGAACCGGGCCACTTCATCAATCACGTTCGTGGCGCGCACTTCCCAGCCCGACAACAATAAAAATCGTATTTTATACGTATTCGTTTAACAGCATCGCATTCCTTCTCAAGGCATGCTGCTGGCCACACATCTTCGTGTTCGTATATTTATTTTTCTCATTTTATTTTTTCTACAGCAAAAAAAAACTTTGAAATAATAAAATTTTCATATTTGCTGATCCACAGATGTAATTGCATATAAAAAAAGCTGGCAGAAGTTAACCATAGCCGAAATCCGTGCGCCACGGAGTTATTTCGCCATTTTGCTAGTCGTTACGCGTTATTGCCCGCCATATTGTTCATTACGTATATATGCCACACCGCGGCAGCGCAAAAAAAAGTCGCGTATAAATTTCGGCGCGTGCAGATTTTATAGCCACTACACGAATTGCCACATTTATTATTGACGCTCGCGGTCGCTGACGCTATTTCACACAATTTTAATGCCCGGCGAATTCACAAAGGCGCGTCGACGTGCGTACAGGCACGTCACTTGAAACTTTAAGGTGACTCCAAGCGACTGGCTAACTAGAAACGCGCATGGGACGTGCCGAGATACGTACGTGCCTTTAATGTGACACTTCAAACGTGTTATCAAGTTTCATTCGGTTGTCTAATGTTACGGGTGCTGGGTTTGTGCGCGCGCCTAAATATGTGTGCCGCTTGTTGCCTGTACCGACCGATAAAATTGAGTTGAAAAATTCATTTCGGATTCGGATTTGCAGTCGATATCGTCGATGGCAGGAGGCGTTTAAGCCGAAAATCAAGGAATTCTGCAGAGCGTTTTGTGACTCACTAGAAAGAGCGAATTGCTTCGCGTTCGGCGCGCGACACGGCGACAAAAGGAAAATGGAAAACATTCTAAGCGACAATATAGCATTTTTGAATAGCGTGTCGCTTAAAATTGCATTTCTGGCGATTGCACGTGAGCGCGCCAAAAAATATAATCAGCAGCACACGAGCGCCGAAGCGAATATATACGAGAGTTCGATATCGGAGACAAGAATGTTCGAGGATTACGCCCGCGCCAGGCATACACCTACGCGGCAAATCCGCGCCGCTCGGCACCATTCCGAAGCACCTAATATTCGTTACATATTTTCTTTGCAAGAGTCGCGCCATCCGTTGCACTAACGAAGTTTTCCTTTCCGTGCGTTCCCGGCGCCTCCACCATCCGCTAGCGCGATATTCGTTTCACCAATCGATTGCATCCTGCATGTATACCTGCCTTGTACACAAAACCTGGGCACGTCGGTGTTGAACGTGTTCGATCGAAAACCCGACGTCGCGCAGAGTCACGTACCAACCGCCCCGACCGAACCATTGTTTGCGTTTGCGTTTCGCAGGTATCCTGGATCAGGCACCGAGACCTGCACATCCTCACAGTGGGCAGCTACACGTACACGAGCGACCAGCGTTTCCAGGCCAATCACCATCCGGAGACCGACGAGTGGACGCTGCAGATCAAATGGGCACAGAAGAGAGACGCCGGCATCTACGAGTGCCAAATTAGCACTCAGCCGGTGCGCAGCTACTCCGTCAATCTTAACGTTGTGGGTAAGTGAAACGGAATGGTCCGGCGTCACTGATTTTCAAACCAAACACACGAACGTAGGACTACAGGAATTCACGCCGGCGGATTACTTCGTGGCTCCGTGCAGCATACGGCCATAAATTCAATCTCACGCGACGAATTAGGAATTAAAGTTTCATTTTGTTTTTCTTCGTAATTTGATTACAAGATGGATGAAGTAGCGAAGGGTTTAATGTTAGTTTCTTTCATAGTTAGAAGTTTTCAACGAAAAAGGAAAAAAAAAACACAAATTGCGCAAAGTTTTCGCGATAGTTTTTCAAGCTTTCCTTAAATTTTTGTTTAAAAATCTTAATTAAGATAAGTTCAGTAAAGATTACTATCTAAAATCACAGGTATAGTAAAATATTATTAAATATCTACCAAAATTTATGAAAACAATAAATTTTTAGTTCAAACTTTTACAATTTCAACAAAAAAACAGTAATAAATCGTTAACTAATCCTAAATATTTTATAAATTAATCAAAACAAACATGTTGGTTAAAAAACACAGAGTTATCGTTGATGGATTAAAACGAAATAGCTTAACGACCGAGATTAGTAAACAAAAGCACGCCTGGAACAAAAAAAAACTAAAACGCTAAAAGAATACACGCTGTTAAATTACCTCATGCTGCTTCACACCCACTTTAAAATTGAATCTCACGCGACAAATTAGGAATTAAACTTTTGTTTTTGTCCTTGATTTGATTAGTGGCCTCTGCAACTAGCAGGGTGGCGACTATTGTTGGATTTTTTTGCGAGAGTGCTTTCGTAGAGCGCGAAAAAAATAGAAGAATGTTTTTCCTCATTACGTGCCCCCATCTCTCATTCGGTGGGCGTTCACGGCCTAAAGAAACTCATTAATCATCGCTCAAACACGCACATGCGATTGTATTAATTACTCACGGACCGCTTCCATTTGACTCAATTATTTCGCCGGCTACGAACCCCGGGCGGCGGATAGACATGGTAATCTAATTCGTGAATTAGGGACATTAAAGTTTTCCAAACAATTGACATGATAATTAGTACCTCCGATGCCGAGCATTTGGTAGGCGGCGATTGGCGCATGCGCGTACTTTGAAAAATTTTCGTGCTGCGTGAAGCGCAGTCTAATTCCGGCGATTTTTTGCTCGTTAATTCTATCGAAGCACCAGCAGCAAAACAATACCGTATCAGATGTTTTGTTTTGATGCCATTATGCTGTCATAACAAGAGACCGGTAAAATCGCCAACAGTTAAACAATTAGAATTGTATTCGATTTCAGATGTTTTGGTGTACGAAGTGAATTGTGGCGAAACGAGCAGCGTTAACCTGATAGCGATGGTTCTGATAGCCACCATAAAATTCGCGGATTCAGGTTTTTTCCTGCTACAATTTTTTTCGTTTTCCGTTTTTATTTGTGTTGTTGGTTTTTGTTGATGTTTTTTTATACAAAGCTATTTATAATTAACGAGAGTAGATAAATAACGCGTGGCAATGTAAACGCACGTCGTGGGACTAACAACGCAGCAACTAATTATTTCTAAATAATAACCATAACAATAAAATTCCGCAATAAAAGCAAAACAAAAATGTTGCCAAAATGCCCTGCGCATAAAAACTAAGTGTGCATGCCTCACAGCTAACGAACACAATTTCGTCGTCAGCCGCCCGAATGAAAATATACCGAGTGATGGGCAACGGCCAAATTGGGTCACTGACACAAGAAACACGATGCTAAATTAAGAAACATTAGGCTATTCTCGGCCCAGCCATGCACAAGATGAAAGAATTTTGCGATTCGTCGGATGATTGCGCGATTATTGAAAACCGAAAGCGGTGGCGGCGCTTTCTGCAATCAACTTGTTTTATGTGGATACCACCCTGTGTGCCGTAAAATTCTTCAACAACTTGCATTGCCCATGGATTGATGTGTGCAGGTTATGTTGTGCTGGTAACAGGAAGCCAATTAAGTAAAGTCCATCGAAACAAAAGGCACTCCAGCGGAGGGGAGGTGTTCAATTAGTGTTTGAAGCGCGCTCGCTTCGAAAAACCGCCGCAAATTAACAAACGTTTAACAATTGCGCGCGCGTGCTCTCTCGCTTTGTTCGATTTCTTGAAAATACGCTGCGTATGCTCTTGTTGACGCCGCCTGGTGTGCGTGGCATTTGTTTGTTGATTAACACTTAACGTTTGATTTGTTATTGCGAACTAATTCGAGCCGTGAGCTGTACGAATAGCGAAATGGCGGACGCGCTGGAAATCAACGCCGCGTTGCCGCCGTTGCCGCTGCACGAAACGTGCAATTAATTTGTCAATATTACGCTTGTAATTCACGTAGCGCAAATTCGTGTTTCCACAGTGCCGACGGCGGCGATTCTAGGAGGGCCCGATCTGCATGTCGACAAGGGCAGCACCATTAATCTGACCTGCTCCATCCGCTTCAGCCCGGAGCCGCCGGCGTACATCTTCTGGTATCATCACGATGACGTAAGCATCCTCTGGAAATTTTTAAATCGATTAATTTTTATGCAATTTGTAAAATGCCGCAAAACTTTCGAAATTGGATTTCATTTGAAGCATAGCAACAATTTTTTTCGGGGGGGGGGGGTATAAAGTTTTCGAAAATGTAATAAAAATCCATTTAGTTTTCTTTTTGTACGTAATCTCCTCAGCTGCACGTAATAACCGGTAGAACTTTACGCTCGTATTTCGCCAAACTGAAGCATTTTTTTGCGTTGTTGCGCAATCGTTCTTCCAGGTGATCAGCTACGATTCGAACCGGGGCGGCGTGAGCGTCATCACCGAAAAAGGCGATGTAACAACGTCCTTTTTGTTAATCCAGCACGCTGATATCACCGATTCGGGCAAGTACTCCTGCAGCCCCTCGAATGCTGACGTCGCAAGCGTGCGAGTGCACGTCCTCAACGGTAAGTGGCAAACATATCGATTTTTTGTCGCACTTTGCGTCCGCTCCGTTTGTTTTTCATCCAGAGCAGTTTCGCCGTTTCTTTCGCTTGTGCGCCATCAGACACTTGTCTGAAATCTCGGCATTCGGTTATGCGAGATTCGCTATTTCCCCGGGGGCGCGTCCTTGCTTGCCGTTGGATACACGTAATCTACGTTTTTAAATTCGCATTGTGTAACTAATTACCATTATATAGCGATTTTCTCGACGGCACAACGATGACGGAATGATTTTGGGTGCACCCGAGTATTTTCTTGGGACTAAGTTTAACAACACGCAAATGAAGACGCCGCACCTATTACGGAACGCTCAGCCAATTTTCGAACAATTTTCCAACTTGGTTTACAAACCACGTTTCCGAAATTTCCCGTAAACCAAAATTTAAATTCAGTTTAACAGTTATTTTGATTTGAAAATACCGCATAGTTAACCAATTTTCCATCTAATTTCACGGACAAAATCACATTTTATTTTAATTTATTTTTTTATTGCATGCTTTATAATTGTTCTGATATCTAAATATCAAATACACTTTGTGTCTGACATTTCATAAATACGACGCGTGTTAGAAGCAGCGTTCAATTAAAGTAATAACGAATTTTTCAAAAAGAACTGTCTCGACGTGTAATGTGAAACGAATCATTATAACTTTTTATCCTTTTTATAATTAGAATGGAACTTTTTTCGCTTCGCTTTACTTTCCACCGCGAAACGTAAAACCCGATTAATTTTGGGCACTCAAGAGTTTGTTTTAATGAACATAAATTAGATTTCATAAACTTTCCAAGACAAGAAAAACTTTGATCGGATTCTACTGAGTTTTATAATAAACAAACGCCTTCAAATAAAATTGCGCTCTAGAGTTTGAATTTCATATCATTATTTAAAAAAATAAAATCCAGGTTATGAATTTGATTCAGTTTCCTCACAAAATATAATAAAAATTAAAGTTTTTGTTTTTTAAAGCGATTTTATTAAACTAATTATAATTATTTCTATGGATTGTATTGATGATTGTCGAATTAGTCAAGCTGGCACTATTATATCCGATGATTTCACACATTGAACAAAATCAGCCGCGCATCCAGTCACCGTTCTGCATTCAAGTCATATACTGGTAGTTATACATGCAGATTGGATAACAAGTTTCATTGAAACCGCGGCCGCTTTTGCAAACTGAGAAACCAAGCCATTCGATCCGGCGCGCTTACTGTGAAATGGCGCGGAATATACGTCATACGCATTTCTAATTAAATTTCTGTCAAACGAATGAAAACGTCTCCGCAATCCGCCAATATCCGCTTTTCTCGCTGCACGCGATATCCAGGCAATGGTCGCCGACGCATCAATGGCAACCGGATCACCCCCACGCACACACAAAAAAAGGGCACACAAAACCCAATTGAAAATTATTCGGCGGTTTTTTTTCTCACTCACCGGCGAATTCGCGCGGCAAGTTCATCGGTTCGTTCGCACACGTAATTTCAGGCCTACCCTAACTCAGGAAGCTGTTTGACGCTAATGCGATACATAATCCGTTCGATTACGAGGATTTGGCGCGGACGCCGATAGATCACCGAGGTCTCTCTCTTTCGCGCGATCGGGCGCGGCGCCCAGAAGTTCGCATCCAGCATTTCCGCTGCTCCCACCCAGCCCGAGACCACTCTCGGTCCCCGCAGTAGATTACAATTCCATTATAAGTTCGTCCCATTTTAGTGGGTGCTCCCACTAAATCTATCAAAATTTCCACCCGTGGCCCACTCGGTTGCTTTGCGTTGCCTTCTGGCACGATTTGGCTGTTTGTTTAAACGCATTACGGCTGTGTTGTTTAATCCAACGCTGCTCCCACATTCGAACTAACGCTATGCGGTTGAATTGCACCTAAACCACTTGCCACTGCATAAGTGGGAAGTTAATTGCGCCGTCGAGCTTCATATTTTAGGTGACGCTCTAAATTTTTGCGCAAACACCAAATTCACTGGCGACTTTCTTTGGCGCGCGCGACAAAGTTGCAAGTTTCCCTAATGTTTGAGTTTTCACTCGGGCGCCAGCACATATTCCTTAAGTCAACCGCGTAACGCATGCATGGCTGGCTGCTCGAAACTTGTTTACCCTCTGGCTGTGTGGTACTTGCAGAGCTAGTAAGAAAAGCGAAGGAACTAAAGTTATTTTGTTTCGACAGGCGAGCGCCCGGCAGCAATGCAGACCGGCTCGGCGGGACTGTCGAACAGCTCGGTGAACGTCCTGGCGTTAATCATCACCCTCTATCTGTACACCGCAACATACATTAGCATACAGCTGGAGACTGCGAAGACTCGCGGCGCCGCCTCCACAACGCGGTAGCCATTTAAGGGCCGTCAACTGTACATACCATAGACGCATGGCACGGCATGGTATACCGATAAGGAAAACTTCAAACGCAACTTCCCAACCGAGCCCATCGTTTCGCATGGGCAATTATACAACACAACCAACGGAGCGAACAAAAGAAACCGGCAACTGGACAGGAATACAACGCGCACCACATTGTATTATCGTGCAGACACAGTGAGTACGTACTTTCGTTGATGCCGAAAGTAAATGTCACGTAAAGTGGATAAGACATTAGCATTTAAAAAGTTTGTAAGCGCCGCATGGCGGTCCAGGAAGCACCTTCGGCGTTGCAACTTTTACCCAACAAGTTTTTGGACCGCCGCGTGGTAAGTTAGCGGGTAATTACCATTCTTTCGTGTAAATTCATTGTAAATATTTATTTACCTACACTTTTCGGACAACCTGAGCGACGTATGTAATTTACTCGAGCATAACGACATATGAAACTTAAAGTGTTACGAACATATATCACTGTATCTAATATTCGATGTCTTTAGCAAATTCCTAGCATAAAAGTTATTCAATTAAGCCATGCGGAACCGAGTTGTACCGAGAAGTCGATTTTGTTTTCGAGGTTTCCGTCTCAGTCGAATCTCGACGACGGAAATTAAACGATAAAGAAGCTTTACTGAACGTATTTCCTTTGATTACGACGGTCGAGGGGAAGAAAGAAAATAAATAAATGTTGAATATTACTTATTATCTGAATATATAGATCTCTTTATTAAAATTGTACAAAGGACATAATAATTAACAATTCATATTGGCCCTTGAGTGAAACACTAAAGAAAACATTTAGATGTAGTTCATGAAATCTTGCGTATGTTTATCGTGATAAAGCTGGGCGTGGTTGTTGGGTGAAAGAAAGAAAGCAGCAGTAGCTGAAGCGTATGAAACATCAGACGTTTTTCCGGGTGTCTTCGGTGGGAATTTTCGAGACGCACGGCATTCCGGCACGAAATCTAGCTATAATTCAGCGAATTAATTGGCACCCTTTCGTCCCTTTAAACCCTTCGGTCCCGGCGCGCCAGCTCGAGTTTCCGCACGAGGATACTCTCCGCGTATTTGCATGAAGATATATATTATCAGGTGCAACGTAATAACAACTATCGAATAACGCTGGACATCCTTTTGGAGCGCGCACCCTCGCATGTTTATTATTCCATTTTCACGCACGGCGCCCCCGCACGGACCGACGCTTGCACACCCCACGAGTGAGAGGACGACGCGAATTGAATTGTATAATCCCTGGGCCCGAACGGACCGCCGCGTTTTGACACAAAACTAGTTCATTTCGAATTTGAGCGCGCCACACCGCTTTGCCGGCAAAGCTTTTAATCTCTGAGTTAATTTATTATATTTCGCCGTTTTGAGCAAACAACTTCGCTTAATGAACGGAACGCTCAAAGAACGTTTACACTGCGTCCAAAACAGGATGTTTACAACAACAAAAAACTCGTCCGTAAAGAACCCTTTCAAGTATCAAACCAGAGAAAAAATTTAATAACAAAACTGTGTAAACTAGTGATCGAAGTTTTGATATAATTGAATATAATAGAATAGCATCAGAGGGCGGTTGAAGCAACAGAGCACATTTGTAAACATCCGCTGTACGGATGGATACTTTATTGCATAATAAAATTTAATTAACACATATACGCGCAAATGTAAACATTTTTCGGCTCAATTCTGAAAATTGCTCTTTGTCTTGAGCTTAGGCGTGGGGGGGTTAAAACCGGATGGAAAAGTTACAGGTCTCAACCTGGTAATAACTTCATACGCGCACGCATTCTACCCCAGGCGTAATAAAAGGTAATAAGTGCCGGTGTGGAGGACTTAAAACTTTTTAATAACGCGGCGGTAGAAATTTTATTATGTTGTCAGATGCAATGAAGCCTATCGTCGTTTGTACTATTCGGCAGCGTCGTCATTCGTGTTGTTGTTTTGTGTATGGCTTTCATTTTTCATTTATTTAATGAACGCGACAAACGACAAAGGGAATCGGCTCAAAGGATATGCACCACGCAAACGCCCACCCGCTGCTGTCGAGGATGAGGAAATGAGTTTTTCAATTTGAATCTCGCGGAATTTCAAGTGCAGCACACGTTCTCGTTTTTTTTTTATTTTTGCACACCCGCTCACGCGCTTCGTGTTTCTCGTGCGAGTTTTTGACTTTGTGTTCGGTTTTTATTTATTTTCCGCACCGCGCGCGATTTGAATTCGTTCTTAAAGATTACACACCGCTGAGCGTTAGCAAAAATTCCCCAATCCTACGCGAGGAGAACCTAATCATTTCGGAATGCCATTAGATTCGTGAGCACAAAGGGCACGCGATCTGCGGAAACCTTATTACGCCAAAAAATAAATACCAACCAAGCGGAATAATTTCAAAAACGAGTTGGAGTGACTTTTTCCAAGTTGTTTATTATTTTGAATCACATTCGGAAAATGCCAATGTCGTCTGGTTAAAATGAAGCGACGAATGATTGTATATATCTTTGTTTTTAATTTTAATACAGTTATGAGACTTGAATCTGACTACAAAAGTTGCATAACATTTTGCAATACAATAATTAAACAATTGTAGAAATTTAGCACACCTATACCAAAGAATTGACGCCATTATTTGAATCCATTTAATGTATATGATTAATTATCAATATTGACCGATATGAATGTTTCATCACCTTTTAAACACTTTTAGTCTCTATGAAAACATACAATCTCAACTTACACTTATGGCCATCACTTTGTATGAAATGTAAATGTAATACACCGAAAAGGAACAAGCAAATTTATTGAACAGTCAATAGTTAATTTGTATTTAGTGAACCGAGCTCAACATGAATATGTATGCATCGCGGGGGCCGAAGATTGCGATTGCTTTGTGATCGTGTCATTCCGGAAGACAAAGCAAGTTAGAGCAGCGCAAGAACTCACTCACTTTGCCCGAATTATGGTTGTGTAACAGGCAACGGTCCACAAGCCAAGACCACTCGCAATATTCGACTCAGCGTAATGCGAAACATTTAACTTGGAAATTAGCAAACAATTGCGCTGCGGACGGACAGATTTTATAAGAAAAGGTGTGCGCTAATTGTTCGCCTCGCAGCACTCTCCTGCGGTGCGAGTGTGCGGGCGAACCAGTTGAGAATTAAATACAAGTGTATAGCAGATAATTTATATGATGTAAAAATTATGAAATAAAGACAAATATAACAATGGTAACACACGTCGCTTCATTTGCGTAGAAATTTTATGCATGACTTTCAGATGCCACTTGAGGCGTGCGTCGGAATGGGTCAGGTTTTAATGAAACGACCAGACGGGAAACTGTTTCCGTCCCGGCGGGTTGCCTCGGTAACTTTTTGCGCCGCTTTTTTCCCAGATAGGTTATAACGGCGGAACTACTATCGATGCAATTTTCAACAAACTTTATTCTATTCCCGAAGGAAGTTTTTAGTGCCACCGTGTTACCGGAACCTCCAGTCGGCGATAAACCGAGCTAACAGATGGCGCTGATGAAGCCAACGCACGAGTGCATCCGGTTTGGGCGTATTAAAAACAGTGTTTATGGTGTGTTTCGCTAGAATATTTATCTCGTTTTTATTGCACATCAAAAAACAACGCGCTGGCTAGGCCGGCTGGTGTACGGGCGTCAACGGCGGCGGCAGCAGGCGCTGAGCAAAAAGGTGAGTGTAATTTGTGGAATAATTAACGAAAGGATTTTGATTCATTTTCAGCACGCTGAACATAGGTACATCTATATTACTTAACACAAATCAGGGTAAGAGTGCATCGATGAAAAACGGAAACTCGTTACCTAATGGATTTATTACAAAATCGTGGAAGATGGAGACGAGGACATGCGGAAAGTTTTCTGGGTCTTAAAACTCCAGGCTAAATTAAAAACAGCCGTTAACGCTATAATTAAAGCACTTGCATTGTTTTTACGGAATATCGTCAGCGCTCGCGGTAGAAATTGCTCAGGGATTAGCGGTGTTTACGCCCCGTGGCAAACATATCGGCGTGTAATGCGAACAGCCGACGATCTCGGGGCGCTCGTCGCGGATGTGTAATTGGGCGTTGGAGCGGCGGCGCTGAGGATGGATGCGCCACGTCTCGACGTTGGGGGGTGGCGGCGGCAGGAACTCTGCGTCGGGTCGGTCGGGCGCGACGCGTCGACGAAAGCCGTTGAGTGATGATTTATTCGCGCAGCGCGTACACGGTGCGGCACATGTAAAGTCTCAATTAATTTGGCCCATTTCGCGTTTACCCAGGGAGGCGACCAAACTCCGAGCAGGTAATTAAGCGCCTTGAATATCGCGATGAATAAGCGGCAAGTTTCAAGGCGCGCAACTCGCGTGGCTAAAGCCAAACTTAGCACTTCGTTTCGTGCCAATTTATCCTAAATAAAATAACTTTTGCTGCAAGATGCGCGGAGGTGGCGTCAGAGACTCAGGTAGGTATCATGATTATTTTCAAGCGTCGCGGCGCCGTTAACACGGATGTCCGCGCGCCGGCATTGCGACGCCTTCTTGGCGTCTTCCCGCGCAACTTTGGATCGTAACTTCGCGCGACCAGCTCGAAAACCTCTCGAAATTGGAGCGCAGAGCTGAAAAGTGTAGTCGCACACGGCCAACTTTGCCTCCCGGCACCGATAGTTTTTCATGCCCGCAAGTTTTTCTTTATATTAACGCCGGGGGTTAATATATTGGACGTAGAATTGAGCGCACGGATTGAAAATCCCAGTGTTTCCTTTCTCGCGGCGAACCCCACCATGCAGATATTCCAATAAATTCGGATAGCTGGGCTATTTATTGCGGGCGATAAGCGCCACAGAGCCTCAAGTGGATTCCACGCAGCGGGGCTGGCGGGTGTGAGCGGCACTTTGCGTAACGGCCTGGTGAACGAAAGCGTGAAATCAAATTCTCTCGATATGCCAAAAAAACATAGTTTATTGGCTATTATTAGCCGAGTAAATGAAAGTTCAACTTTACGCAAAACATACAAATTCAATTTTTTGCAATAGGACCTAAATAATCAAAGATAGAAGAAAATGCCTTACAGATATTTCATATTGAATTTAATAAGTAGCAATAAATTTTAGTAATTATCCCTAACATTGATCGTTTAGGCCCTATTTGCATATTCTAACACAAAAATAGGTTTTTACATGCAAATAAAGCCTTAATCTATAATTGTGTAACTGGTTTCCGATTCAGAATTTAATCTACCTGCCCAATCTGAAAACAGAATTCAAAAATTTCAATTATTACAGAAACTGCATTTGGTGAAAAAAGATTTTGCCATAAAAAAGTCAAAAGATTTCTCTTTTTTAGGTCAAGTCTTTTAGACGAAAGACAGGGTCGAACTTTTTTTAATGAAATTATTACTTGCCGAACAACAGGGTCGAACTTTTTTCTTAAAATTTTTCAGCTTGAAACCGTCGAAGTGCCCCTCCACCAAGAAAAAATTTAAAAGATAAAGGGGTAATTATCTCGACAACTAAAAGAGCTAGAAAAATAAGAATTTCATATTCTTGATCCTTGAAAACTTCTCGACAAGATGGCATCGTTATTGAAAAACGACCAAAATGGCACAAAAAATTTTTAAAGAAAAGATTTTGTTATAAAAAAGGCAAAAGATTTCTCTTTTTTATGTTCAAAATTAAAAGTTGGAATTTTTAAATTCTGTTTTTTGGATTCTGATTGTTAATGTAATTCTACATCGATGATTTTAGTAACTTTTTTTGTTATTATTATCCGTTTAGGGCCTATTTGCAAATTTCAATGAAAACTCCATTCGACATAAAAAAGAGAAATCTTTTGCCTTTTTTATGACGAAATCTTTTTTCACCAAATGCAGCTTCTGTAATAATTAGAAATTTTTAATTCTGTTTTCGAATTCTGAATTTAGATTAAATTCTGAAATTGAAATCAGTAACACAATTACAGATTAAGGCCCTATTGACCCGTTAAATCCATTTTTTGTATTAAAATTGCAAATAGGGCCTAAACGATGAATGTTATTATTATATTTTCGGATTTTGCAAGCTGATTTAATTCTATATCGACACTTTAAGTAATTATTTGCTTAACATTATCCCTATATTCCCTATTAATCATAATAACTCATGGAAATCCAACAAAAATCAGGCGGGAATTGTCTATGTCCACTTTCTGCGTTCCTGATATCACGAACTGATGAGCAGCTCAATTTTCGTATTTTCTCGACCAAATTTTGTTGAGAAATCCGATGAAATTCATTCATAAAATCATTTGAATATTAGGATCGCAGAATGTGCGAGTAGGCTGCTGAATTAATAATGAAACTTATTGTAACACCCAGTGGCGGAGTAATTTATTTATTCCTAAACAGATGGCGGTGGTGTCAATATTTAAATAAATAATTGTAAATATTCAATTAAAAATTGATTTTAAAGTGTTTCACGATTGCAGGAATGCACAGTTATAAGCCATGCTACAGTAATTGCCTAAAAATACCCAATTAACAATTATATATAACGAATAAGTCCACTATTAATTTAAAATCAATTTTCAGTTTAATATTGCATCAAAATTTATTTAAATATTACCACCGCTGCCATCTGTTTATGAGTTAATAAATTACGACGCCACTGGGTGTTACAATAAGTTTCATCATTAATTCAGCAGCCTACTCGCACATTCTGCGATCCTAATATTCAAAAGATTTTGTGTATGAATTTCATCGGATTTTCAACAAAATTTTGTCGAGAAAATACGAAAATTGAGCTGCTCATCAGTTCGTGCTATTAGGAACGCAGAAAGTGGACATAGACAATTCCCGCCTGATTTTTGTTGGATTTCCATGAGTTATTATGATTAATAGGGAATATAGGGATAATGTTAAGTAAATAATTACTTAAATTGTCGATATAGAATTAAATTAGCTTGCAGAATCCGAAAATATAATATCACATTGACCGTTTAGGCCCTATTTGCTATTTTATTACAAAAATTGGATTTTACATGCCAATAGGGCGTTAATCTATAAGTGTGTTACTGGTTTCCGATCCAGAATTTAATCTACTAACAGAATTCAAAAACAGAATTCCAAAATTCCAATTATTACAGAAGCTGCATTTGGTGAAAAAAGATTTCATCATAAAAAAGGCAAAAGATTTCTCTTTTTTATGTTGAAAATTAAAAGTTGTAATTTTTAAATCCTGTTCTCAAATTCTGATAGACAATTTAATTCTACATCAATTATTTTGGTATTTTATTGCTAGCATTAACTGCTTAGGCCCTATTTGCAATTTTATAGAAAAAATTGAAAATGTACTGAAACAAACTGAAATAATATATATAATAATTTGGCGGGGAGTATCTATGTCTACTTTCTGCGTTCCTAATACTACAGACTGATGAGCAGCAACATTTCAGCAAATTTCTCGACAAATTTTGTCGCGAAATCCATTGAAATTGGTCACAAAATTCTTTTGAATATTAGGATCGCAGAAAGTGCAGTAGGCTAAATCTCTTGAATAGCGGCGTAGTTTAGTTCCCCGTGGATAGATGACACTAGTAATACCGTTTTTAAATTAATATTGATACAATATAAAATTGATTTTGAACTATTTTTCATATCTAGCAGTAGCATTTCCATTAAAGTTTAAGGGATTTATGGATTAATTAAAGGAGTAACGATGTTGCGAGCTATGTTCTCCGTTTGGAACAAATCAAAACAATAAACATTTATAAAACTACAATTTTATTCAAGCATGTAGAATCAGAAACGAAATTTCTTAATATATACAACATTTTTAACAATACAAGCAAGAAAACAGGATAATAATATGCAACTATATAATGCTCTGTTTTTAACTTTTAACAAAATAAACAAAAATTATATCAATAGCAGCTTCAAAATGTTGTAAATTCATTCAATCGTATTTGGAATCATCATCACCGGCAATCCAATCTTCAATTTCTTAGACACTATAAACCAGAATGAATAACAGAATAGTAAAATATAAAATATTATAAATTGCCAAAATATAACATACGTTCTTCGTATTTAGTCCAGTTGACACATTCATCTTCCTGAATACGCACTCTACCAGTACCACGGAACCTCTCCACTTGGTCCTTATTGATAAACTTGGCCATCTCAGATTAGCCAATTTTTCATCCAACAACTGGAAAATATTTATGTAAATGAAATATACCTATACATACATAAATTAAATTAATTATTCTTACCGGATCCATAAAGATTCCCATTTAGGGCACTGTACGAAGGTAGCAGTAGAAGTGACTCCCATTCAAAGCACCGTACAATTTAGTGCAAGAACGGTTGCCCCACGACATTGCGTTCGCCGGCTAGAACAAAAAAAAAACACAAAATTAGCCGACCAAAAAAGACTGAAAGGGCATTTTTGTAGGTTTCCCGAGGGTCAAACCCACAATTTATATATAAAAATTATAAAGAATTTTAATACTTACAACTTGGTGAAAAAACGGTTGTCCTACGACATTGCGTTTGGCCGCTAAACAGTAAAAATCACTAAATTAACCGACCGAAAAACACAAAAAGGGCATTTTTGTTGGTTTCCCGAGGGTCAAACCCACAAATTATATATGAAAATTATTCAGAATTTTAATACCTACAATTTGGTGAAAAAAACTGTTATCTTACGACATTGCGTTTGCCCGCTAAACATTAAAAACGACAAAATTAGCCGACCGAAAAACCCCAAAAGGGCATTTTTGTTGGTTTCCCGATGGTCAAACTCACAAGTTATATATGGAAATTATAAAGAATTTTAATACCTACAATCTGGTGAAAAAACTGTTATCTTACGACATTGCGTTCGCCCGCTAAACATTAAAAACCACAAAATTAGCCGACCGAAACACAACAAAAAGGCATTTTTCTTGGTTTCCCCAGGGTCAAACCCACAAGTTATACATGAAAATTATAAAGAATTTAAATACTTACAAGCTGGTGAATAAACGGCTGTCCTACGACATTGCGTTCGCCCACTAAACAGTAAAAACCACAAAATTAGCCGACCAAAAAACACAAAGAGGATATTTTTGTTGGTTTCCCGAGGGTCAAACCCACAATTTATATATGAAAATTATAAAGAATTTTAATACTTACAAGTTGGTGAAAAAACGGTTGTCCTACGACCTTGCGTTCGCTCGCTAAACACTAAAAACCACAAAATTAGAAAGATGAAATTTTAAGTCTTAAGAAAAAATTGCCAAGTGGGGGTGCTTGATACTTTTTTTCGACGATTTTCATAAATTAATATCTCTTAAACTAAAAGAGATAGCTACCAACGAATTGTTGATTATGATAGATTGGAAAATTCTCTATCAGATAACAATATAAAATAATTATATTTCCTACAGTAAAAGGTCGAAAAACGTGACTAAAAGTGCTAAAAAGTGACATTTATCAATTTTTGCCCATTTTATTCAATCGCGAATATCTCGTAAACTAAAAGAGATAAATAAGATCTGATCGCAGCGTCTTAATCTACTGACTTTTCTCTATCAGATAGGATAGTGAAAAGGGAAATTTGAGAGAAGAAATTTTTAGTCTTAAGAAAAAAATTGCCAAGGGGGGGTGCTTGATACTTTTTTTCGACGATTTTCAAAAATTAATATCTCTTAAACTAAAAGAGATAGCTACCAACGAATTGTTGATTATGAAAGATTGGAAAATTCTCTATCAGATAAAAATATAAAATAATTATATTTCCTACAGTAAAAGGTCGAAAAACGCGACTAAAAGTGCTAAAAAGTGACATTTTGCAATTTTTGCCCATTTTATTCAATCGCGAATATCTCGTAAACTAAAAGAGATAAATAAGATCTGATCGCAGCGTCTTAATCTACGGACTTTTCTCTATCAGATAGGATAGTTAAAAGGGAAATTTGAGAGATGAAATTTTAAGTCTTAAGAAAAAATTGCCAAGGGGGGGTGCTTGATACTTTTTTTCGACGATTTTCAAAAATTAATATCTCTTAAACTAAAAGAGATAGCTACCAACGAATTGTTGATTATGAAAGATTGGAAAATTCTCTATCAGATAAAAATATAAAATAATTATATTTCCTACAGTAAAAGGTCGAAAAACGCGACTAAAAGTGCTAAAAAGTGACATTTTGCAATTTTTGCCCATTTTATTCAATCGCGAATATCTCGTAAACTAAAAGAGATAAATAAGATCTGATCGCAGCGTCTTAATCTACTGACTTTTCTCTATCAGATAGGATAGTTAAAAGGAAATTTGAGAGAAGAAATTTTAAGTCTTAAGAAAAAATTGCCAAGGGGGGGTGCTTGATACTTTTTTTCGACGATTTTCAAAAATTAATATCTCTTAAACTAAAAGAGATAGCTACCAACGAATTGTTGATTATGAAAGATTGGAAAATTCTCTATCAGATAAAAATATAAAATAATTATATTTCCTACAGTAAAAGGTCGAAAAACGCGACTAAAAGTGCTAAAAAGTGACATTTTGCAATTTTTGCCCATTTTATTCAATCGCGAATATCTCGTAAACTAAAAGAGATAAATAAGATCTGATCGCAGCGTCTTAATCTACTGACTTTTCTCTATCAGATAGGATAGTTAAAAGGGAAATTTGAGAGAAGAAATTTTAAGTCTTAAGAAAAAAATTGCCAAGGGGGGGTGCTTGATACTTTTTTTCGACGATTTTCAAAAATTAATATCTCTTAAACTAAAAGAGATAGCTACCAACGAATTGTTGATTATGAAAGATTGGAAAATTCTCTATCAGATAAAAATATAAAATAATTATATTTCCTACAGTAAAAGGTCGAAAAACGCGACTAAAAGTGCTAAAAAGTGACATTTTGCAATTTTTGCCCATTTTATTCAATCGCGAATATCTCGTAAACTAAAAGAGATAAATAAGATCTGATTGCAGCGTCTTAATCTACTAACTTTTCTCTATCAGATAGGATAGTTAAAAGAGAAGAAATTTTAAGCCTTAAGAAAAAAATTGCCAAGGGGGGTGCTTGATACTTTTTTTCGACGATTTTCAAAAATTAATATCTCTTAAACTAAAAGAGATAGCTACCAACGAATTGTTGATTATGAAAGATTGGAAAATTCTCTATCAGATAAAAATATAAAATAATTATATTTCCTACAGTAAAAGGTCGAAAAACGCGACTAAAAGTGCTAAAAAGTGACATTTTGCAATTTTTGCCCATTTTATTCAATCGCGAATATCTCGTAAACTAAAAGAGATAAATAAGATCTGATCGCAGCGTCTTAATCTACGGACTTTTCTCTATCAGATAGGATAGTTAAAAGGGAAATTTGAGAGAAGAAATTTTAAGTCTTAAGAAAAAAATTGCCAAGGGGGGGTGCTTGATACTTTTTTTCGACGATTTTCAAAAATTAATATCTCTTAAACTAAAAGAGATAGCTACCAACGAATTGTTGATTATGAAAGATTGGAAAATTCTCTATCAGATAAAAATATAAAATAATTATATTTCCTACAGTAAAAGGTCGAAAAACGCGACTAAAAGTGCTAAAAGTGACATTTTGCAATTTTTGCCCATTTTATTCAATCGCGAATATCTCGTAAACTAAAAGAGATAAATAAGATCTGATCGCAGCGTCTTAATCTACGGACTTTTCTCTATAAGATAGGATAGTTAAAAGGAAATTTGAGAGATGAAATTTTAAGTCTTAAGAAAAAATTGCCAAGGGGGGGTGCTTGATACTTTTTTTCGACGATTTTCAAAAATTAATATCTCTTAAACTAAAAGAGATAGCTACCAACGAATTGTTGATTATGAAAGATTGGAAAATTCTCTATCAGATAAAAATATAAAATAATTATATTTCCTACAGTAAAAGGTCGAAAAACGCGACTAAAAGTGCTAAAAAGTGACATTTTGCAATTTTTGCCCATTTTATTCAATCGCGAATATCTCGTAAACTAAAAGAGATAAATAAGATCTGATCGCAGCGTCTTAATCTACGGACTTTTCTCTATCAGATAGGATAGTTAAAAGGGAAATTTGAGAGATGAAATTTTAAGTCTTAAGAAAAAATTGCCAAGGGGGGGTGCTTGATACTTTTTTTCGACGATTTTCAAAAATTAATATCTCTTAAACTAAAAGAGATAGCTACCAACGAATTGTTGATTATGAAAGATTGGAAAATTCTCTATCAGATAAAAATATAAAATAATTATATTTCCTACAGTAAAAGGTCGAAAAACGCGACTAAAAGTGCTAAAAAGTGACATTTTGCAATTTTTGCCCATTTTATTCAATCGCGAATATCTCGTAAACTAAAAGAGATAAATAAGATCTGATCGCAGCGTCTTAATCTACGGACTTTTCTCTATCAGATAGGATAGTTAAAAGGAAATTTGAGAGAAGAAATTTTAAGTCTTAAGAAAAAATTGCCAAGGGGGGGTGCTTGATACTTTTTTTCGACGATTTTCAAAAATTAATATCTCTTAAACTAAAAGAGATAGCTACCAACGAATTGTTGATTATGAAAGATTGGAAAATTCTCTATCAGATAAAAATATAAAATAATTATATTTCCTACAGTAAAAGGTCGAAAAACGCGACTAAAAGTGCTAAAAAGTGACATTTTGCAATTTTTGCCCATTTTATTCAATCGCGAATATCTCGTAAACTAAAAGAGATAAATAAGATCTGATCGCAGCGTCTTAATCTACGGACTTTTCTCTATCAGATAGGATAGTTAAAAGGGAAATTTGAGAGAAGAAATTTTAAGTCTTAAGAAAAAAATTGCCAAGGGGGGGTGCTTGATACTTTTTTTCGACGATTTTCAAAAATTAATATCTCTTAAACTAAAAGAGATAGCTACCAACGAATTGTTGATTATGATAGATTGGAAAATTCTCTATCAGATAACAATATAAAATAATTATATTTCCTACAGTAAAAGGTCGAAAAACGTGACTAAAAGTGCTAAAAAGTGACATTTATCAATTTTTGCCCATTTTATTCAATCGCGAATATCTCGTAAACTAAAAGAGATAAATAAGATCTGATCGCAGCGTCTTAATCTACTGACTTTTCTCTATCAGATAGGATAGTTAAAAGGGAAATTTGAGAGAAGAAATTTTAAGTCTTAAGAAAAAAATTGCCAAGGGGGGGTGCTTGATACTTTTTTTCGACGATTTTCAAAAATTAATATCTCTTAAACTAAAAGAGATAGCTACCAACGAATTGTTGATTATGATAGATTGGAAAATTCTCTATCAGATAACAATATAAAATAATTATATTTCCTACAGTAAAAGGTCGAAAAACGTGACTAAAAGTGCTAAAAAGTGACATTTTTCAATTTTTGCCCATTTTATTCAATCGCGAATATCTCGTAAACTAAAAGAGATAAATAAGATCTGATCGCAGCGTCTTAATCTACTGACTTTTCTCTATCAGATAGGATAGTTAAAAGGGAAATTTGAGAGAAGAAATTTTAAGTCTTAAGAAAAAAATTGCCAAGGGGGGGTGCTTGATACTTTTTTTCGACGATTTTCAAAAATTAATATCTCTTAAACTAAAAGAGATAGCTACCAACGAATTGTTGATTATGATAGATTGGAAAATTCTCTATCAGACAACAATATAAAATAATTATATTTCCTACAGTAAAAGGTCGAAAAACGTGACTAAAAGTGCTAAAAAGTGACATTTATCAATTTTTCTTTATCTTTTTATCTTTTTATCTTATTTTCCCAATTTGAATACCTTATCTTATAAAGAATTTTCCAAAGATTTAGAATCTTGAATCCGAAATCATTAGAGTTAGAAAAACTGAGACAAAATGGGATAGGGATGGTTAAGACGGATTTCCGCTGAATTGCACCTTCAAGAACAACTCTTGCGCTTTTATAAGCGAAGGAAAAACTAAACAATTAATTTTGAGATGTGTCAGCCTACTCGGAGTACGCAACTATCTTATATATTTTCAACACGCAGTGCAACGCGATAAACCAAAACAACGTAAATACAAACTAATGGAGGACGCAGAAATTAAAATCAAAAATATAATTGAATTATAAACTTACCAATGCACAACTCATGGACTTCAAGGCACGGCAAATTCTGTAAATAAACAAAGAAAACATAAGTTACAACAACAGCATTTAATACAATTTAGTAATATTATAATCACACCGCAGGGAAAAATAAACAATCTGTGCTGTTTAGTTAAAAATTACTTACACCAGCACGATGGGTTATCCGAATGATGAATATCATATCAACATGAGGCGATACACTTAACCGGCATTTATGAACAATAGACGCGCAATCAGTATATAATGCGAATTTGGAAAGTAGATGTCCGGACAAACAATTCGAGTCGCGTATTGAATTAACCAGATACCGGCACGAAACTGGCTGCAAACTGTGCAAGCAACCACGCGACAGTTTATGATAAGAAAGCAATAGATGCGCAAAGCCAGTGCGTCGATGGCACGCAACCTTGTGCGCGAATCGCTTTGGCACGTTACCTGCGATCAAAACTAAACTAAGATGCACCAACATGCGGCGTGAGGGGATTTCATGCCTAGCATTCCTCGCAGCGAATGCGATAAGAAAGTGTAAATTGTGTTCAAAACAAACACAATTCTCGTGTCGAATATTCACGTTTGATGATAAATATAAAAATAAGCAATACAATTATTTTAGGATTTAAATTATTAAAAGTAATGAAAATTTTAAATTCAATTTACGTAAATCTAATTTCTTATTTATATTAATATTGGAGTATTGAATAATCTCAACTCTTTCTTACAATTGCCCATAAAAGGTCTGAAACCGGGACTGAAACTGCTCAAAATTGCAAGTTTTCAGTTTTTGATCATTTGTTTCAATTGCGAATATCTCGTAAACTAAAGGGGATAGAGAGGAACAAATCGCAGAGTCTTAATCTACGGCCAATTCTCAATAAAAAAAAGCCCAGTAAGTTGAAAATCTAAGAAATAAATTTTAAGTCATAAGAAAAGATAAGCAAATGAGAGTCTGCAATGCATTTACCTACATGAAGTGCTCTGATCACGAGTCACTTTTACCGCTACCCGCATACGGTGCCCTGAACACGAGTCACTTCTACCGCTACGCTCATACGGTGCCCTGAATGGAGTCACTTCTACCGCTACCCTCATACGGTGCTGTGAACACGAGTCACTTCTACCGCTACCCTCATACTGTGCCCTGAACACGAGTCACTTCTACCGTTACCCTTATACGGTGCCCTGAATGGGAGTCACTTCTACCGCTACCCTCTTACGATGCTGTGAACATGAGTCACTTCTACCGACACCCTGCTACGGTAAACCGAATGAGACTCAACTATACAATTGCAATATTAATTGCAATATAACTAAATAAACAAGGAAAAATCAACGTTCTTGACATATGCGAGTCAATAAACGATAATAGTGCAGAACTTTTAAACTAAAAGCGATAACAACCAATCCGTTGGTTATGAAAGATTGAAAAATTCTGCATTAGATATGAATTTAAAATAATTTAATTTAAAAGATAAAAGATAAAAGGACCAAAAACATGACTAAAATAGCTGTTTTGCCCTTTTTTTTTAATCGTGTCCGACCGTGCCGGTCGTGTAAGTTGTGTCACAGGTAGGTAGTACGTGATAAATAGAGAACTTGTTTATAAACAGCAAATGTAAATTTGTCCGAAAAATATAATTAAATTATAAACTTACCTGTGAACAGGTTATCGGACTGCCAGGCACAACGAGTGCTATAACTAAACGAAAATATAAATTAAAACAAAAATATTTCATACAATTGAATTATGTTATAATTAACAATCAACACAAAATAAATAATCTATGATGTTTAGTTAAAAAATACTTACACGAGCCTGATGGATCTTTCTTAATGATGAGAATCAACATGGGGGCCATATATATCCGATTAATTTAGTAACTGACACCAAACACAACGCCGAGAGAAGAATGTTATCAAATCCACTATCACGTGACTTGTAATATACATAACAAACGCGATCAAAAACCGGCATTTCCGAACATTAAACAAATTACTATTGTCGCAAAGTACAAATAAATAGTTGATTGATCTTCGAGTATAACACGAATAAACGATATAAGTCTCTCAAAACACAACTGAATTAACCAGCGACCGGCACAAAACTGGCGGCAATCCACCGATAGTGCATGCCGAAACTGCGTAAACAACGTCGGGACAGTATATGATAAGAAAGCAAGAAGTGCGCAAAGACGACGCGTCGAAGACACGCGACCTTGTTCGCGAATTTGCAATAGGCACATTACCTGAGATCTAAACTAAACTAGACTTCGCTGCATGCAGCAAGTTGATGCGGCGCTAGGAGATAGCGCACGGGATACATGCGATAAAAAAGTTGTTTACACCGAATCGCAGATAACAGCATTGTATACAAAACTATTCTCGTGCCCACGACTGTATAAATGTAAAAATAAGCCGTATAACTCAATTTTATGATCAAATGATAGGAAATATACTCTTTAGCTATTAAACGACAATAAGATAATTTCAATTATTTTATTGGTTCCTCTGATACAGGGCGTTTTCCACGCCGACTTTCGAAACATTGAATAAAATAGCCATTTTTTATTAATATTGCAAATAGGTTCTTAACGGTTAATAATATAAAAAAAAGTTACTAATATAATCGGTGGAGAATGACATAATTTATCGGAATCCGAAATCAGAATCAAAATTTCTATTTGTTGTTTGTTGAAAATTAAAATTTGGAATTTTTAAATTCTCTTTTTAAAGCAAAAATTGCAGTAAATAAAATTGCTTTATTTTTTTATTTTTTTAGGTACCCGGTTCAGTTTTATTTGCACCCACGACAGGGGTGGATTTAAACACGGATTTTATGGACTGCAGCTCGTAATCCTTGTCATTGCGTACCATTATATAATTCACGATCGCATTTCCTTTTCAAACCGAACTCAGCCAAACAAAAATAGCCCACAGCTCGATTAAAATCCGATATTTTAAAATCGTTTATTTAAATAGACCTATTTTTCACGCAAAGTCCACATTTGAAATTGACCGCAATTTGCCTGTCACATTCGTTTGAATGTTCTCCAAATCACCTCCTTGGCATTTTGACCCCGATTACAAGAAAAATGCGGGAGGTCAAATCAGACAAATACAGATGTGCTTGCAGAGCGATCGGTTTTCGAGCCAAAAATCACATTACGTTTAGAGCCGTTTCCGACTGTAATACCAACGATGAAACAGAAGGCAATTCTTGGCGGCCATCTTGATAGATGCTGTCGTTCCAACTTGATTTACAAATCATCTTAAAAAGCCAATCGGAAATATTTCTGGTATAAAACGAGTACGTACTTCAACACAATCGATACTCAATCAACTTCTATTAAATTTAAAATTGTATTCCTATGCCAAAAAGAAAAAACGATTATTATATAATTAATTGTATTAAAAAACAACAATAAATTAATAATAAAATATCCAAAGTTTGCTCCATGTAACGAAAAACCTGGATACAAACCGGATATAAAAGTAAAAACAATCATGTCATTATGTCACACACATTCTTGACAGTTATCCTTGGGTGGAATCTTCACGGGTTTTACGACTGCGAAGATGTAACGACACTCACATTAAAAGTTAAAAAGTGCGGTTATGCGGAACTGTCACATCGTGCCACAGTGATTTCTAATGTAATTGTTATTGTCGCAGCAAAGTTCCGCCTTCAGTAGCTCGCAATTAATTGTCACAATTAGTGAAACTTTCCTTTAATGCTTCTGCTGGTTGGTGACGCGCTCGCCGCTATTGTGATTACGTTTTATCGATACAATATGTCACATGTTATGCAAGACATGAGTATGTCCATCGTCAAATCGTCGCGTGACGCCTTCCTCTATTAATAATTTTATTAACGTATATTTAAGAAATTCACCTAATATCACCTAAAATATTCAGTTAATTAACCATTTCTAGTTGTAATAATATATTTATAAAATCTGGGGTTTGGTTTAATAATCAGAGCAGTGCTTATTTTCTGAATGAATTACGTGGTCGTATTCGAGGGTTAAGTCGGTCATAATACATCGTCCGGGCTTATCCAATATTTAAGGTATTAAGCACGGACGTGTAGTGTGTGTACAACCTGTACACCTCAAGCCAAAGGTGCACGCTTCGACATGAGCACCAAGCATTGCCGAGGTCGTTGACCAACGCCTTGGATATGTGTAGTCAAGGCCATGGTCTTAGATGGGATCGTCGGGCAATACTCTGCATTGGATATAACTGTACACCGCCGACAATGCGCATCCACTCCACGAGCAGAGGCGAGGCGCGCGTTACGATCGTACGTGCGCGAACCAGCGAAGACCATCACCGACGAATCACCTTGAGGTACCTGAGGTGCCTCTGCCCAACGGTACATTTCAGCGGGCACCGAACGATTCCGTATTGCACACACGACCGTACGCATATGAATGAAAAAGCAACAGTGCGCCGGACGCGACGAGTGCTGTAAGTAGAAGATTTGAATCGCGAGTGTGGACGACGAAGATGAGTTTGTGTTGAGAGGTGACAAAAAAGGGACTTGCACAATTTGCGTCGACAGACTATTTACGGAACATGTGTGAATTGCATCGGTTTGTCCTGGTGCTGGTGCTTGCGCTATGTGCGGCGATCGGGACGCGAGCACAAGAGGATTCGCTCGCCGGGAGCTTCTTCTCCGGTAAGTACATTTCGCTTCGGGGCTCTGGCGCCATTTGCGAGGAGTGCGTTTGTTGACTTTGATTCTTTGCACTTGCTTTGCAAGTCAATTCGGGGGCTTCAATAATACATTTGCGAAATGGCGCGGATCGATGCTATCGTTAAAGTAAATACACCAACCCCAAACCCGAGAAACCACTGATTGTTTTATCAAAAATCCACAGGAGCCAAAAACTTTACCATTTGCGCCGTAAGCAGATTATACTATTTACTCAAGTCTTATTTTGACAGTGCATCATTATCATTAATAAGCAAATTTAAATGACCTAGAAAAATCAGTTTTATAGTTTATTATCACTTGCCTTCAATTTTTTGCTACTTATTTAACTTTCAGTAACTTTGATGTTACGTTATTTATGTATATTGGTGCACTACTAGTTGAAAAACTTTACTTTACTCAACAAAAATTTATGCATATTTAAAAAATGGTAATTCTCGACTGGAAAAAACTTGTAGCACTTATCTTAATATTCAAGAATACTTGCAACTGATTTTAAGTATAGGAATTAATCACTAAATATTAAATTTGAACAAATTATGTATCGAAAACAAAAGTAATTATTTCTCATTTTAAACTTTGATAATAATTAGCATTATTATAAATGCCCATTTAAATATTGGAAAATTTGGACAATAAAACTTTTTTATGAGTATTTCACAACATTTCTGAAAGGTTGAATAGCATTATGTGCTTACTCTTATATAATAACATAAATACTTTATCGGGAAAAGTTAGTATTTATTTATAAATTCTGAACGAAGAAAGCAAACAAAATAATATAATGTAGATACATTCGCCCGGAATGTATATACGAAATAACAGCGTTATGCTAACAAGTTGCGCTCGGTATATTTATTTGGTTCGGAAAGGTAGATTCATTTATTACGCTATCGCACAAAGTTTGATACATCAAATATTCCTCTCCGGCATTTATTATGCCATTCATTCCATTAATAATCGCTGCGAGTGAATGCGGGTACCTCGTCGTGCTCATGCCGGTCGAACTGGTAGATATGTATAATGACAAAACTGGGATGCTCAATCTCATGAATGTGCGATGTGATAAACTCGAAAATACCGTACTCCGCTGATTGGAAAAACGGACGACGACGCGCGGATCGCTGCTGTCGCCAACGCGAAAACAGATAATCCGAATAAGTATTTGAACGAATTTAATTTGGTTTCAATTTGATTAACAAGGCTTACTGGACACAATCACGAGCACGGCGGATTCGAAAGACTGCCCGGGCGTGTGCGTGCACGCTCTGGCGACGCTGATTTGCTACGACGTGCTGGAAAACGTGCAATGCCCGCAGTCGATGAAATGCTGTGTGGAATCGGCGCCAGCGAACGCAACGGAAAAGATGCCCGCGAATGTTAGCGCCCCAGCGAGTACCTCAGTACGGACAACTACTACTACTCCTCCTCCGACAACAACTACAAGGACTACAACTACCACTAAACCCGTAAGAACCTCTTCCTTTGCTTCTTAGCAAATTTCAATGTAAACGCATAAAATTTTAATTACACCGTCTTCATCCCTTTGCTCTTCGTGTGATCAGACGACGACGGAATCGAATAAAAAGGAAGCGGGTAAGTTGTTCAATTTGAATTGAACATTCCGTGCTGATGGTTAACCTGCCGATTGCGTTCAAGGGGCCAAGGTTTGTCCTGGCGTGTGCGTCGCCAACCGTATAGCAGACTATTGCGAGGCAATATTGACCACCGAGGACCTGTGCAAGGCGGGCTTACGCTGTTGCGTCTCCAGCGATGCGTTCGGTGACAAAGTTCCGCCGAACTTGATCATCCCCAACAAGACGAAGCACAATCTAACGCGCAACGAAGTGCGAAACACGCCCAAACCGACGACGACCTCCACCACAGAGAGCTTTATCAAGACAACGCTCAATCACCTGCCGCCGGCGACAAAGGTAGGCGGCACGCAGCCGCCGAACCATAAGTGCGCCGGTGAATGCGTGAGTGGATTGTTCGCTTTGTTCTGCGATGACATCGACTCGGAGGCTGACTGTCCCGACGAGGGGAGCTGCTGCATCACCAACCCGGTAAATATTGTCTCATTGCCAACGCGTTCCGGAAACGCAAAGGGTGAGTATAGACGAATTTGCAGCCCGCAGGTGAAGAGCCCCGACCGCCGTTGCCACCGCCGACAACAACCACAACGCTGGCGCCTTCACGTCCCGCTATAACACCTGATCCAGGGCCGCGTTGTCCCGGCTTCTGCTTGCTTAACATAATGGCGGCGTTCTGCGAACGACCCTCGGTTCTAATCCCCCACACGGTCAACTGCAAACGAGGATCAGTGTGCTGCGATAACACGAGATCCGTGACGGCAACAAGTCGACCGCGACCACAGCAGAGTCAACAAACGTCCACGACCACGACCACGACCACCTCTACCACGACGACGAGCGACCCGCGACCGGAATGCCCCGGTTCTTGTATTGTCTCCTACCTGAGCTTCACATGCTTCCGTAAGTGCAGGCTTACGTCGGATTACCGCTCTCTTTCCTTCGAAATGTTAAGATTGTTATTTTTCGTTGATTCACTTAGGAAACGCGGAGATGACCGAAGTGTTCAAATGCCGGAAATCTGGCACCAAATGTTGCGCACCCAAATCGCTCATTCGAGAAATCACCGGTGCCAAGGAAGAGGATGGTGTTAGTGTGAAAAATACCACCCCCATTGCTGCTTCGCCAGCGTTTACCACGCCGTGGCACACAACCCTCAATGATACGTCCGCGTTGAGTAAGTCTGTGGGTGCCAAACGATTGGCACCTTGGGCGCCCGCTTCCTGTGAATCTGCGGGTTATTGACTTAAACTGTTTGCAGCCACCCCCGACGGATTGAAGTCGGGCACGACCGGAAAACCGCCCGTCTACAGCAAGTACGTGTGCGGCGTCAAGGGCACCGCACGGGCAGGCCGGGTCGTCGGCGGCGAAGACGGCGATCGCGCTGAATGGTGCTGGCAAGTGGCGCTAATTAATTCACTTAATCAATATTTATGCGGCGCGGCTCTCATCGGAACTCAATGGGTATTGACGGCTGCTCATTGCGTAACCAAGTAAGTGCACTTCCATTCGACCAGCCAGCCGCGCGTTATTAACTAATCTATGCTCTCGATTCCGATCGGCGTTCGTCACGTCCGCTTCGCATCGTTCGCATCATTCGATCTGTGCAGCATAGTTCGGTCGGGCGATGCAATTTACGTGCGGGTGGGCGACCACGATCTGACCAGGAAGTACGGCAGCCCCGGCGCTCAGACACTGCGCGTTGCCACCACCTACATCCATCACAATCACAACAGCCAGACGTTGGATAACGACATTGCACTGCTCAAGTTGCACGGCCAGGCCGAGCTGAAAGAGGGCGTCTGCTTGGTGTGCTTGCCGGCGCGCGGCGTCAGTCACGCCGCCGGCAAACGCTGCACGGTCACCGGTTACGGCTACATGGGCGAAGGTAATCGCGACGAATTGCCGCCGTCGACCGACGTACTTATGCCGCAACACGTTCGTTCATTTTTCAGCCGGTCCCATTCCGCTGCGAGTGCGAGAGGCCGAAATTCCCATTGTGAGTGACGCGGAATGTATCCGCAAGGTGAATGCAGTTACGGAGAAGATATTCATCCTGCCGGCGAGCAGTTTTTGCGCCGGCGGCGAGGAAGGAAACGACGCTTGCCAGGTACGCTCATGTATGCAGGCGTGCAGTCGCACATTTCGAATGAACATTTTTGCCTTTTATTGCATTGTTGCGATGCTGTTTGCTTTGCGCCGGCATTTGCACTATATTTCACCCGCTGGAAACCACTCCGGTAAATTACCGAGTTTGCCTTCTTTGCGGACGGCGGCGGCAGTCACATAAAAATTTCATTTTGCGCGCTCTGAGCAATGGCGCTCGCCGATATTATTTTCTTTTCCACGCCGCGATCTACAACCAATTACAAACTTACTGGGGTACATAAACTTGAACAGCCAAAACCTCATGCTTGACCTATTTGTTTCCTACTTCTGTCAGCGACCCACGAACTGAAAAGAAAGATAGATTTTACTACAAAAAATTTTCGAGACTTCAAATTCATAATTTTTAATATCAAAACATAATATTTATTTATTTTCTTTATGATAATACCTAGGGTGACGGTGGAGGACCACTGGTGTGCCAAGATGACGGCTTCTACGAGCTGGCCGGCCTGGTTTCCTGGGGATTCGGTTGCGGACGAGTTGACGTGCCCGGCGTCTACGTCAAAGTATCATCGTTCATCGGCTGGATAAATCAAATCATCAGCGTAAACAACCTCTAAATGTACAGAACCGTCGACTGCTCCGGCATTTACCAGCATTCCACTTAACCATTTGTTTCTTTGAGTTTCATGCATGCGCTGCGCCGCCGACACAAAATGCGCACGCATGCTGAATCCCTCTGTGTACATATATATATAATAACGTGCCTAGGGTAAGCGAAACTGTTAATTAATTTTTGGGGGCCATTGAAAATGCGATTATCTACTTATCTGCTCGTAGCATAATCGCTTTTTGGGTAAAATCGTGTACAGAGAGAAATTACGGATGGACCTACGCGCGGTTTCGACATTATCTACCTGATCCATGAAATCTTTTTGCACATTCGCACATTGTTGGATATATTTATGACTTTGCATAGATTTTCGATTTTATTTATTTGCGTTAAGGCTGAAATCATATTACACACCTACGTATTTAATCTAGATTTAACTGCAACTTCGGCAACACTCGCATCCCAACCGGCACTACAATGTTTAACTCGTTTTGTAGCTTATGCAAAATATTAGCATCATGTAACATGTTCGTAATCACCAGTAGTTACTGTTATATAGGTTTTTTTTTTACTTAGATGATTTTACCTACACTGTAGAGTTTTATATGATGTACGTTGTTACCAAGTAAGTAAAATGTTTTGAAAAACAGCACACAACAAACAAATCCTTTCTGCTTTTCATCGATAATTGAAATTGTAAAGTTATAGGTACGTACTTGTATTCACACAGCATAGTAACGGGATATTAATAGTGAGAAATATCACAGGTAAGTTAAATATTGTTATCAATTCTAAATGTAGCTCATAATTGTGATTTTCTATGACGTCAGTTAACATGTCAATCAATTTAAGTGAAAAGGAATATCCGAACTGATCCAGATAGCCACTTGTATCTTGATTCAATATTACATCATCAAATGTCAATTCAGTTTATTCCTAGATATCTTTCCCACTCAATACAATATTTTTATTTGAATATATGATATCATCGATATTAAATACTTTTAAGTAATTTAATTATTTCTTCAACTTCTTCAATATTGATTTTATGTCAAGTTTTAGTCATTTTACTTCCGCGATTTTAAATACTCATGGCTATCATAAATATACAACAGCATCAATATTTTATGTGTAGTTGAATGGCTTTTAGAGTGCAGTTATTGCGACTGACAAATGTCTCCACCTTTAGTCCGCTCGAGTACTCTTGGGATATTACAGAAGGAAGCAATAATACCAAGCCATCAAAGCGTATTATAACCAGTGCGCGGTGTTGTCTTAAAACGAAAGAAGTAATAAAATGCGATCTATTACCAAGCAAATGACATTTAATTTGCGGAAAGAGGTTTTCAATAATGGTTATTTACCTGGAATTGCAGCGGAAGTAATATAAATAGCACTTCCGGCTTCCAAAAATAAAAGTCTATTTTATAATAAATAGACTCATGATAAAATTAATTTCATTTGCCTAATACAAATTAATAATCACTATAAATTATAATACCACACTTCAATTGATGTAACTATCGTAATTGAGCGTTCATAGCATACATATTGAATGACATAAATAATACAAGTGAAATACAGTACAACCCATGGTGATGATATTGCCGATGGCAATTGACATATGAACTTTTCTAAACATGTGATGAATCTTGGTGTAATGGGGGCAATTCCGCAGCGCGCCAACATCTGCGGCTCCGACTTCCATCCCCACGCCGGCCTCCTTTTCGATCTTGTTCTTGATAAAGATTAACCTTAGCAGGGGCGGCGTTAAATACAGACGTATTACGAGGTTTATGATGAACGACACAGCCAAAGCGATCATCTGCGAAATACACGAACGCGTCACTTATTAATACAAAATTATTCCGATCCTCGCTTCAACTCCGAAACTCACTTGATACAATTTGCAGCCGTGCAGTTCCTGGGCGCTCTGCGTGAAGATGACGAGGATGATGAACGTCAGCGCGCTATTGAGAGCGAAATATTTCGGAAACAGTACGCGCTGAACGTCGCCGAAGTGATGTCTCGGGAGATTGAAGTACAACGCCAGTCCCGAGACGAAAGTCATCCAGAATTGGCTGCCCAGATACATGCAGAAGGAACCGAAGTACGCGAACCGAACGATTCGACTCGCAGCTGCTACTGGTGCTTCTTCACGCCGTGGATGCCACAGGCATGCGACCGTCGCCACGGCAACGATCATTATTACATGAGCGGGTTGAGTTGTTCCGAAGAGCACTCTGAATAAAAATTTAATTAATCAGAATCGGCTTCGGTCTTCGATCCGCGCAAATGCAACTTACTTGTACGCGCTGCTGCGCTGGAAATCTTTGAATCGTTCGTCGATGTAATTGAAGCACGACTTAGTGTAGTCCGTCGACACGGACAGAACGTCTTTGAATTTTTCATCACTATCGACGCCGGAAGTTTGAAAGTTTTTAAAGCCCCTTGATTGATACTTGGATAGCTTTTTTAAGTCACTGGATTTATTCGGTACGCACATCTCGGTAATTAAATAAATCGCACTATCAGTCTTGATGTTGGTGAGGTCGGGTGCTCTTTCCAAGAGTTCCAAAGTGTTACTACGTGATCCCCGTGGGGGTGACTTTCTTTTGTAGTGATGCCGGCGGCACGTTGTCCCTCCCCACTTTCGAGTAGACGACTTAAACGAGTGCAAACGCATTGAATTACAGTGTGTCGCTGACGGGCGAAACGCTTTTGTGTTTTTATAGCCGATGTGAGTCGATGTTTATACAACACTGTGGCGGTTGGCATGGCCTGGCATGATTGATAGTTATTCTAGACTTACAGACAGACACTCGGGAACGTTCGATTGGGTTTGATCGCTGTGTACAGAATCAGATTTAGATGTCAATCCTTTCAATATGTACTCGAAGTAAATTAGTTTTTCGAAATTGATTCGGCTCTGTTAATCCCTCGATTAACGGTCGAAAAAAAAAAGCATATCATGTGCATTAATGCACACACTGCTTGTTTTTTTTTATTATTGCATTACGAGTGTCGTATTGTTTCGTTAAGCACGTACTCAGTTGGCGCGGGCCCAGTTAATGTGCGTAATTTGATATAGTAGTGACGTTAAATGCGAATTTTAAACGCTTACGAATGAGTCATCATTGTCACAATAAGCTTTTCTTGCACCATTCTCGAGGCACACGTGCCGGTCTGCACGTCCACCTCGTCGACGGCCTTCGAGAAGAAAAGAGAAGATAAAGTGATCATCAGCGTACAATAAAAGGACCAATTAATCTATTTAATGAACCTCAACTCTTCAGTTCTTTTTTTTTTTGAGAGAGAACAGAGTAAGACTTATTTCGTGTTGGCAATGGGTTAATTTTTAATTTTTTGTGTACTTGAAGAACGGAAATCAAATCGTCATGCTCATCTTCCTTTCTCTAGCGCCTTAAATCCATTATCCGAGGGCGAGGGCATCCCTAGCGAAATGCCCGAGTCGAAATTAGAAATTGAGTTGAGACTACTCAACCGAGCAACCCTTTTTTGTTTGATTTGCCCTTTGGATGTAATTTTAGCAAAGGTTGGATGATGACCTGTTTTATGCTGATTATTTGGATCAATTATTTATGTGTTGACAGTGTTGCACACAACATTTCCAATTTCTACCTGATTAATAATAGAAAAAGCTAATATATTAAAAATTTAGCCCACATTTTCAATTATCGGTACACTCAAAAACCAAAATATGTATATTCGCATTTAAAAACTGATTTTAATCACTTATCGAAAATATTTATATGGAATACTATTCATGGTTTGATTTGTTTATTACAATTATTTACATTGGCGTTTTTAATGAAAATATTTGATAATCGGGCAGATATATTTATTTATCAAAAAACCAAATTTTATTTTCGTTTTTATTTTTAATTAAACTCACTTAAAATGAAAATAAATTCAAAATTAAATTCGTTTCGCTAGAAATGAAATGAAATAAAAATGGAAGCACCTCGAATGCGCGTATGCATATTGCTCAATAAGTTATTTACACTTTCTTACCTGTTACCTTGAATATTCGTAGAATTTTCGTTTGTGATTGCACAAACTTACGGTACTTCTAGTCGCAGCACGTAGGAAGAATTCTTCCAGAATTTCGGGGAATTGGAGACACATCTGCGGAACACAAGTTGTTAATTTGATTTTATTAGTGATGAATAAAAATATAAGCGAATAAATAAGATAAGATAAGCTAAGGTTTTTTACGTTTTGCTTTAATAATATCCTCTTCACCATCCACACAGATTGAGAGATTTTTTATCAAAGTACTGAGAACCAATAAGTTTGCTTTGGTGAAAAAGTTTGATTTTTTGTCAATCAAAAAGTAAATATAAAATAATATAAAATGTAATCCATCATATTGACTGAACAGGTATAGAATTTCGTTCCCGTTAGTTTACTTTTGCATAAAAGTGACCACCAGGGTCGTTTGAGCGAGGCACATGCACGAACACGACCTAGACAATAATAACAACATGATAACGATATGCAACCTCGGTGCCAATCGATTATATTGAAATAAATCGGTTTTATATTATTGAATGTTACTCATAGTATCCTATATCACGCTATTATAGTATTTTTAAATTATATAATGTCGTCTTACACTGGACTTTGAAATTAAGAAAGTGGATAATGATTAGATTTTAAATTAACTGCGTTTTTCTGATTATACTTTTTATCGAATTAGGAAAAAAATTATGATTAGCAAACTGCTTCAATCTATCATACGTATTAATCGTGATATAGATAATTTTATAAAAATAGCAACAGAATCAAAGTTCTTGGAAAGTTTTACAAATTATTTTGTCTAACATGTTATTCATTTTCATTTACATTTTCAGTGCCAATTTCTACTGCAGATTTAAAAAAAAACTTTATGTTTTATAATTCTGCAATGGTTTTGACTTCAACTATTTTTGACTTCAACTACACGATAAAGTTAAATTAATTTGCTTCAGAATACTCCATGCATTTTCCTGTATTGGTGGGACCGCAAAAAATCGTATGTCATAAATCACACTGAAAAATGACTTTCATTTAATGATCTTTATTAACAGTATTTCCCAACAGCACGTCCTGTGTGACCATTCTGCAAATGAATATCACAACGGCTCGCTAACGAATTTAAATACTGTAAGAATAATGGATTTTTACGAATGTGACATTTTGGTGGAACCTTTAGTCACGAATATGATTTCTTCTTCTCGTGCTTGAAACGCGAAACTTGGCAACAAAGTCTACGCATGACAATTGTTAAAAATTAATCTAAAACGCGTTTATTCAAATAAAAACAAAATTTGACTAAAATAATCAAAAAAATTGCGCCCATTGCGCTTCCGGGTTTCGATTAATTGATGTTGATGTTTTCGGCAACGTTTCTATGATACATATAGGTATATATATGTTAATTGACCCATGAGCACAAAGTAGAGCAATTTACATGCAAAATTGGTTCACCCTTTCTGCGCCACATCTTTAGTGGCGGCTTTATAATCACTCAGAATACCTAATTCCGAATAAAGTATTCACTTTGATCCTGCCAAATCAGCTATAAACGTGTAAAACGTATAAAGAGAAAATTAGAAAATTACAAATTTTGCCGCGGCGCTGCAAATTGAAATCTGATGGGAAAAAACGTTTCCGCGTTGGCGGAATTGGTCCAAAAACAAAACACCAGCAGCGATCGGCCCAGGCCGATATAAGCTACGTCGCGTGTCGAAAAGTTCTGCTTTCCAAAGACGCTGTTGATTTAAAAAATGAGTTCGTGACCCATGGTATTTGCTTGTAATAAGATTTTCTTCATCGTGTGTTATTACACAACATATAATATTAATATTTAATTTTATTAAAATTAAGCTGTATGCAATAAACTCAATTGAAAATTATTCAATCAAAATTTATGCAATAAAACAACTAATATCATGGTAATTTGCGATAATAAATTTGATTAGAAAAACATAAAATCTTATAGGTCACACTAGTTTGTCCTTTTGACACATATAAACAATTTTACTAACTTAATTATTGATTTATGTTACTATGTTACGATTTTATTCGTTTGTTTGTCGTATTATCCATTCTTATCTTCATCGCAAACTATAAACTCAAAACAATATTGCAGCAAATACGTGATTTACTTCAGATCACGCTTCAGCTGATTCCAGCACGTGTAATTTTCGTAAAAAAACAATTTTTTAAATATTTTCTATTGCAAATACAAATAAATATAACTATTAAAAGAAAGAATGCATTTCGTGACACTAAATATTAATATAATCACACACAATCGAACAAAACATGTCAAACATTTAAAAATTTAGCCCAACACGATTTATTAAATCCAAAAATGGAATTTCACGCGGTATAGGCTTTGAACATGGTTTTAATTAAATCATATAATCAAAATATGACGTGCAAAATAAAAGCACTCTCAATTTTGATTAAATTAATAAAAATTTACGGAAAAGAATACATATACATACATAAAGTGGTTGTTTTATCAAATACTAAAGCCTAAAATCAACATTATTCACAGATTTTCGTAGAGCACCAAGTCAAATGCTATTTTAGGTCACTTAATTTTGATGTATTAAAATAATATTAGTTTTAGAAGCAGATTTTACTTGACAAAGTCCTACAATCCCAAAACTAGATTAAATTACATTCGTTGATGTAATTATATTTATTATAAGCACATTTACAATGGAACAATATATTAAACTTATGAAAAAATAAACAATATATGCAAAAAAATGCAATCACATCAGTGATATCATCTATATATCTAAAAAACGTAAGTTACACCGTCAAACAATTTGCTTCACACAATTTTCCACGATAAATCCTCAATTTGAAACCTATAACATTGAGCTACGAATTTTGTAAAGTGGACATATCAATATATGGTAACTTGCTGATAATACTGTAATTGGGAATGAATAGTACACAAATCTGATGAGTTTCAATTATGTTGATGTGACTCCTTTGCGAGCAACAAGCAGATTTAGTACAGGATGTTTCTTTATATAACTAACAGCCTTTTTATGAGTTACCATTGTGAAATCATAGCCATTGCACTGTAGGATTTTATCATGCACTCGCAGACCACTTCTTGATGCTGGACTTGACTCATGAACTTCAGTCACATAAATACCCTGAAACAATTCAATCAAGAAATATGTTTAACATGATTGAATTAAAGTTATAAATATAATATTTATTTTACATTGTCTGTATATCCTTGGGGACTTTTATGATAATCTTGATCAATGCCTCCACCAATTTTAAACCCACATCTATGATTATCCCCTTCGATTTCCTTGTGCAATGTGATTGGAATCTGTAAGAAACAAAAGTGAATGATTTATTCTGTATTTTCTGTGTATGATTGAATACTCACGCTTAAACACTCCATCGCCGTGCCGGCCTGGTGTTGAAATGCCATTTTAGCCATGATTGCTGATTATTTGGTGTCTTTTCGTTGTAAGTTAAACAGCAGATGAACGCTTGAAGTATCTACCGTGAAGTGATGACTGTAGATACGGGCGAGATGATTCAATGTAAAGAATAGGAATGAGTGTATCCGAATCCACTATTGTATTGTTTACAGCTATGACGCTACGCTACAGCTATCGAAGTGTGTTGTTGGTGAAGCGGGCGAAGTGTACACGCTAGCGTCGTTCCTAGTCACTCACATTTTCTTCAGATTAGTCAGCTGTATTTACCGGCCGACTCCCACTGAACTGCACTGTCAACGGGATTTAAAAACGGTTTTAATTAACGCTTCATGGACTATAATAAAAGATAATAATATTTTATTAAAGATTATATTGTTTTAAAGTTAATTTTCTTTTAAAAACTTGTATTTTTCTGTTTGTAATTTCGATACAACAATGAGTTAGAAGTATTTATCAATGTTGGCGCCCTCTGTGGATCATTCAAACAACTTAAATTATTGATTGTTTCTTTCCTAAAGTTGCTTATGATTATTTAAGTAGGTAAATAAGTTCTGTAGTAAGTTGTTGGCTAATTTTATGGGTAAATAGTCCTAGTACTTACTTAATTGAATAAAACTATTCTCAAAATTAAATTAATGCAATAAATACTTTAAATACTTTAAACTGTTAAAATTGTTTATGAAAAACACAATTATACTATTTATTAATATTTTCTATACTTCAAAACAAACAAATTAATTAATTATTTAACCATCCAAATATATCTCCATAAATTTCCAACACTCTGTAGGCATATATCAAACCCTAGCTTTTTAAAACCGGTTTCTTCACGCTTGATGATCCTCCAATTCAACAAATAACACCGGCAAAAGCTCTACACCTGTATCATTCCCTACAGGTATACAAACGTCAAAAAAACGTTGCCATGCCAACGATTGCGCCGCAAACATAACAATATATTGATATTTATTGATAATCGCAGATCCTGTACGAACGAAATAATCAAACCTGCTAAAATGTTTATCTATTTAAGTAAAAAGGTAACTACATCAAATTTAAACACGACAATCACCAACTAATTATCTATTGTTTCCAGATTGCTATACCTAACAACACAAAATTATACAGCATCGCATGGAATAGAGAAGATGGATACATCGCGGTCGGTGGCGAAGATGGCTTACTAAAGGTGTTGAAATTGGACGCGGGTACAGATGCCGAAGGTGGAAGTAAAACCAGAGGTCTAGCAGCAGCTAGCAACCTCTCAATGAATCAAACCCTTGAAGGGCATGCGGATAGTATCAAAGTAATCACATGGAATGAAACCCACAAGAAACTCACCACGTCTGATCAGAATGGCGTCATCATCGTGTGGATGCTGTACAAAGGTGCCTGGTATGAAGAGATGATCAACAATCGGAAGAAGTCAACAGTGGTTGGCATGGCATGGAGCTATGACGGTTTGAGAATTTGTATTATTTATGAAGACGGAGCGGTTATAGTTGGTTCCGTGGATGGGAACCGTATTTGGGGAAAGGAATTAAAAGGAGTTCAACTTGCCGGAGTGCAATGGTCACCAGATGCAAAACTTTTGTTGTTTTGCTTACAAAATGGCCAAGTGCATTTGTATGATAACCAGGGTAATTTTGTTGTAAGTATTAAAAGTAAATTAATCTACAAAACATTAAAAAACAAACAAATTTTAGATGCGTTTAGAGATACAAACACAAGAACCAAACATGAGTGTATCCATTGTTGGTTTGGATTGGTACAATGGAAGAAATGGTTACATGCACGCCTTGTGTCCATGTTTAGCAATTTGTTACGAAAACGGACGAATGCAACTGATGAGCAGCGAAACAGATCCAAGTATATAAAATCAATCACACCTAACCTAACTCAATGACTATCGAGTATTATTTGTTGTAGATCCGGTGATTGTAGATACACTAATGTCAGCAGTCTACTGCAGTTGGAATCACAATGGCACCTTGTTAGCAGTTGCTGGAAGACAGCTGGATAATGACAAGGAATCGAATGTCGTGCAGTTCTATAGCCCCTTCGGGGATGTAATTCCAATCGAATCAATATAGTAAAATATAACGCTAACAATCTACCTTGCAGCATCTCCGGACATTAAAAGTGCCTGGTTACTCGATATCCTGTTGTGTCTGGGAGGGTGGTTCTTTGCGTGTTGCTCTCGCAATTGATTCCTACGTCTACTTCGCCAATATCCGCCCGGACTACAAGTGGTGTTATTTCAAGAAGACAATTGTCTACACGTCTTGCCGTCCGCAGAAAGCCGGAGTGTGTGTTTCCTTCTGGGATACAACAAACAATCAAGTAAGTACTAGAATTAAATTTGTATTACAAATAATAATATAAATTATATCAGTGCCAGACGAAATACGTTCCTGTTTTACTGGGGATTGCGGCGTTTGGTGATCACTGCGTGTTGGTAACCAAAAATGATCAGGACGATGCAATGGGCCAATACGGATTATTGTTGTTTAATACATTAGGCACATTAATCGATGGTAACTACGTTGATATCGAGCCGCTCTTCGTGACGATCAATTCCACCCATGTGATCGCTGCCGATAAGAATAATTTCATAGTTTGGCAGTACAAAACACCCAAGACCTACGGGATTCTAAGTATGCAAGCGCCATGTTGTGGTAATTAATTGAAATAAATCATGTTTTTTTTTCCTGGTGCAGAAAATCGAATGAAATGCCGCATCTACCACGTCGACGATAATCCATCGGGAGCGGTGGAAGTAATTCACGATTTGGAACAAACTGCTGAAATAACTATTAGCACACATGCGACCACAGATCCAATTTGTGCGATTGCGGCGAGCGATCGTGCATTGATCATTGGCAGGGAGTCGGGATCGCTGCAGCATTACGCGTTGCCGCATTCGGCGCTCTGTAATCGTTATAAGCTTGCATCGCGGCCGCACAAAATTGCTATTAACTGCAATTCCACGTATGTATCACATTTTAATTTTATGTCGTGTGGGATGCAATTTTTGTTTGCCGGATGAAAATATTTTATGAAATCCGCACTCACTTTTCAATATCTATCAATATCAATATCAATATCCACTTTCAAAATAAGTGATTTTTGCGGTATACGACTTTATAAGTCGTGATTTATTGGGGTGTTTTGAAAGTTTAAAAACTAAAACTTGCGGTTTGGAATTCCAGGCGGTTGTCGATAATCGACGTGTCGGGAGTTATGACGGTAATGGACATTTCGGAAAACAGCTTGCGCATGAATCAGGGCGAATCGGGTAAACTGGAGCGCAAAGACGTGTGGGCGATGTGCTGGGCGAGTGACAATCCGCAATCGCTCGCCATCATGGAGAAAACCCGCATGTATGTCTTCAAAGGCAATAATCCCGAGGAGCCGATATCGAGCTCCGGCTACATTTGCAACTTCAACGATCTGGAAATCGAGGCGGTGCTGCTGGACGAAGTGATGGAGCAGCCGGAGAAACCCTCCAAAGACCACCTACTCAAATTGGAAGTGAAAAGTTTGCGGGACACGCGCATGTTGCTCGAAAAAGTTGGCATCGCCGAAACGGCGCAGTTCATTGAGGATAATCCGCATCCGCGACTATGGCGCCTGCTCGCCGAGGCTGCACTCAAGGAAGTCAACTTGCCCGTCGCCGAGGCGGCTTTCATACGGTCATTGGATTATCGCGGCATTTCGTTCGTCAAGAAGTTGCACGGCATTAGCAATGTGGCAATTAGGAAGGCCTATATTGCGACCTATTTCAAGCAATTCGACGAATCCGAAAAATTGTATATTGATTCGGACCGACGGTCAGCGCAAGCTTTTTATTTACTAACATTCACATTACTATCAATTTTCGTCTTCTGTATTATAGGGATTTGGCGTTGATTCTGCGTCAAACTTTGGGCGATTGGTTTCGGGTGATTCAAATAATGAAAAATGGAGTCTCCGCGCCAGATCTCGTCCTGGAAATGGCGTACAATTCCACAGCCGACTACTTTGCGCAGTTTAACAATTGGTCCGCCGCCGTGGAGTATTACGAGCTGGCAAAAAATCGCGGCGAGATGATCGAATGCTATTATCACCTGGAAGATTACGCTGCATTGGAGAACATGATTGAATCGTTGCCGGACGGCGATCCGTTGCTGCAAAATATCGCCGACATGTTTGCCGCGGATGCTGTATACTCAGTGGCTGTTAAAGCACTTATCAGGGCACGTATATCCGTCTAAAATCTTTTCTATTTCCTCTTAATCCTCACAACACATATTCTCAACGCTAACATCACTTTGCAGTTGGGAAACATCAAAGCCGCGGTAGACTTGTGCATTTTGCACAATAAATGGGACCAGGCAATCGAATTAGCCAAAGAATACGACCTGCCGCAGATAAGCGTGCTATTCAAAAAGTACACATCGCATCTGGTCGAGCGCAACATGCTCGCAAGCGCCGTGGAAATCAACGTGCAGGCGAAGCATTTCGCAAGCGCCGCAGAGCTGGCTTTCAAATTAGCGAGGCAGGAAGCTAAGCGCTCGCAACGAAATTTGATCAAAGTGAAGAAACTATTCGTGTATGCCGCTTTGCTTGCAGGCAATAACACATCTGGTGAGTATGTCACTTTAACGCAATTTAATATCAATGAGAAATAATTTCCCAAAGCGACTTTTAATAATAATAATAATAATAATCGTATGCATATATTTTCGATGCGTAAAGAAAGCAATCTACATTACATGGATAACGTCTGGAAGGGTGCTGAAGCATATCATTACTTCCTGCTGGCGCACGAACAGCTCTATTCGAACAAACTCCGCGATGCCATGAACACCGCCTTCAAACTACAAGAGTATGCCAGCTATCTAGACGAAATGGAAATTTACAAACTTTTGGCGTTAATTGCATGTCAGTATCAAGCGTTCGGTGTTTGTTCGACGGCATTCATTAAATTAAAATCGCTCGAGGTCAGTGGTACGAAATTCTGCGGGTACGTTTATCAAAATTTGTGCTATTTTTAGTTTACGGAAAACGAACTGGCGGAAATTAATAAACTTACCTACGAGATATTTCTGATTCACGAGCCGAACGACGACGATTTCAAGAAGAAACGATGCGGCACTTGTCACGAAAGTTTATACGAATGGTAATTGCATTCAAGTTGTACCTGAATTTATTGCGTTTTGCAGAAATACACAAGTCTGCGTGTTCTGTTTTTACAGGAGCACAGCATGTCCGACTTGCAACAGCACATTTCCGACGTGCGTCATTTCCGGGGAACCGTTGCTGGAAAAATCATCGAATCACTGGATTTGCAAAGTTTGTCACCATGTTGCACTCGAGCAATACATGAACTTTCGTAAGGTCTGTGCACTTTGCCATGCACACGTTTGAAAAGCGTTGATTATTAAAAATTATTTATTTCTAAAAAATAAATAGAAACAAAACAATGAATAAAATGTCTTACTTGTTATATCAAATCCATAAAATCAGTTAAAATATTGTTCAAATCTTTGTTCACACCAATTATTTTGATTTAAATGGCGTCACGGGTTTCCTGGGCGTGGGTTGCCTTTGTCTGGAAAGAAACGATTGTCCTTGGCCTGCACTTAACAGCGCCAGTTTCTCATCGACAGCATTTCTATGCAACTGGGAACTAAATCTATAAAAAGCTGCTGTCATCAACCGAATTTCTTCTTCTTTCATAGTTGGTTGATGACGCGTCGGGAGTGACTCAATACTACCGTTGCTTTTTCCATGAAGAGATATTGATATCTCTCGGGCTTTTTCAACGCTCCTCGCGTATTTTGCCTGCATAATATTTAATTCTTGTTCTTTACCCTGCAATACCTCCTGGAGTTGTACAATCTTTGCTTTGCAATCTTTGAGGCTGTCATCGCCACTTGCCATTCCACTTGCTCGGTCTTCCAGTCTGGTATTCTCTACCAGTGCTTCCAGTTCCAGAATGCGTAAGTTCTGAGTGCGGTTTTGTTCGGTGAGTTTCTTTAATCGTGCAGTGGCGTCTTCCAAGCGCATTTGTTGCGCTTCAGCGTCTTGATTCACCGCACGAAGTGATAAGTTTTCTTTTTCTAAAAACCGCAAGCGTTCTTTCATCTCAGTGGGAGCTAATTCTTGAGCCATCGCTGCTCCATCGCCGCCTTTATTTGTGTTCAAACGAAGTTCATCGTTTTCTTCACGTAGAGTAACACGTTCACGTTCCAAGCGTTCCTTTTCCGCCTGCATTGCTGCTAGTTTTGATTCAAGGTTTTTGTTCTGAAACAGGGCTTTATCCAGACGTTGTGTTTCTTCATCCAGTTTTAATTCTAATTCCGAAGCTTGTGTTTTGTATAAATCTGAGGAATTCTTCCAACTGTGGTGTTTCTTTAGTTCTTCTTCTAGCTTCAAGTTCTGTTGTAAATATTCGACATTTTTCTCCTCCAAAACTTTGAATTGTTTCTTAACATCGGCGTAATCTTCTAGCTTTTTCTTGTATGAAGCTAGTGCGGTTTCTAAATTTTTTACCTTTTCTGCAGATTCAGTCAGGGCGTCAACTTCATCTTTCAATCGAGCGTTGACTTCCGCAGCGTGTAATAATTCAGAGATTTTATCTTGCGCAGTTTGAAGATCCTTCTCTTGGTCTTTCAGCTTTGCACCTAAATCATCACGGACGACTTCCAATCGAAAAATCTCCTCCTTCAGATGGTCAATTTGTTTACGATTTTCTAACCCGCGTGGAAAATCATGTGTTTGCCGTTCTTTAATTTGCGTAGCTAAAATTTGATTCTCAGATAGTAGTGTTTGTTTTTCTTCCTGTAGGCTTTGAACTTTTGATTCTAAATTGTGACACTGCTGTGCTAGAATCTCCTTGGCTTCATTTGCCTGCTCCAATTCATGCATTATTTTCATTATTCTAGTTTCAGAATCAAGACTCAACAAACTAATGCCTGATTTACCAACACCCCCAGTCAATTCTTCAAGTTCTTGTATAGCTTGCATAATACACCTTTGCACTGACTCCTCCAGAGCCATTATTTGTGTAATATATTCTTGCTTTCTTTCACAATGTACTGCACAACCCAAGACTAACCTTAACAGCTTACCCAACTCTTTTAAATCCTGTGTCTCAGCAATTTTGTTCACATCAGGACAACCTATGTCCATGATTTGCAGATTGAGAGCATCATTATAAAACTCCATTATTGTGGATAAGATTTTCTTTAGATTGGAGTTTTTAATATAGGTATTTCCTATATCACTTTTAATTTTACCATCAAGTTTGTAAAAATTCGCAGGAGACATTTGTATCAATGCTTTTAGAATGGCAACACCATCGGATATTTCTGATATATTGCGTGTTCGTTCTGGTATGATTGCACGTAGCCACACGATTAAACTCTTGCTCACTTCTTCAGACGGCTCCATGTTTGCACTAGTTGATTTAATTGCACTGCAATGAAAGTAGTTATGTAGAAGAATGTAATTAAAATAGAGTACAACCAACCTTCTAAAAGATAATTCAGTTTTGTTATACTAAGGTACATGCCATACCTTATCCGGTCGATTAGATAAAATAGATTTGTTGATATCTAATAATATTATTGTTCAAGAGGTGATTCGCGTCAAGTCCCCCTGAATTACGTTTATTATGATGACTTGGTTGACGTTTGCTATGATGGGTTTTGGTGACAGATCTGTGCTAAAATTATAAAATTAATGTCGGAATATTGTTTCAGACAGCCGCGTGGTGGCGCCAATAGTATTTCACGCTGGAATACTACATATTTTGGGTTACTGGAAATTAAAAGTTAGTGAGGATATGTTTTAAGAATATTTTTTATTAATTATAATAAAATGCTTAATAAGTTATGTGAATACAAGTATGTATTATTATTTATTGTAAATTTAATAGAAAATGCATTGGAAACTTTAGTATCTTCGATATTATTTAATCCCGAAACTGTTTTCTGATTAAAATTCAATAGTGTGGCATTGACAAGCAATTTACAAGGTAAGTAGAGATGTTTCTAGAATTACTCACCCAATGCCACCCTAAAAATAAACTCGTATTCCCAAACAACTGTAGGTAGTTAAACAAAAATAGTTGCCTATGATAATAGTTCATTGTGGGACTTGAAAATACAACAAAATCACCGGAGTAATTTTATTTCATTAAATAATTAACAATTCTTGACTTGTTATTTGTTTGAAGCTGCATTATAAATGTATAATTTTTGAGTGTAAACCAAACAACTTTGAATTTGGCGCTTTCAAAACATTACCTTGAAGCGCGTACAAGCTTGTAGAACATAATTTTGATATCCGACAGCAGGAGGATCTCGGGATCGCGAGCTGCCAGGAGTTTTGTGGTGGAAGCCGTGTTTCGGTATCGTTGCGGGACGAGTTTTCTTGCTTTTGCTTTTAATGCGCTTTTCACCTTGGAGCGTTTTGCATTGTTCGCATCGTTCGTGTGGCCGTTCCAGTTTCCGGAGTACGATTGTGTTTTGTGGTTAGAGCATCGGTGATGTGCTGCTTCTATGTCCAGATACACCAAAGTAAGTGAGGACAGGGGTCCCAATCGGGAACATTTTCATACACCGTCTCACAAGCGTAAAAGACCCGTCGAGATTGAAAATATGAGTGACAACCCGGCGGACCGTAGCAAACGGGCCAACTTCTCGGCGATTGCCTCAAACGGACTCAATCGCAATTTGAACATTTTAAATGTGAAGCCAACGGCTACGAAGAAACTCGTCATTAAAAATCTCAAAAGTATGTATTTGCAATATTATCATATATAAAACAAGCAACATTTCGAATGTGTGTCGAATTTTAGGTGAATTAAAACTTCCTGATGACTACAGAGAACAAACATGGGAGAAGTTAAAAGAGGCTGTGCTTGCCATCCACATGTCAAAGCCAAACAAGTATTCTCTTGAAGAGTTGTATCAAGCAGTGGAAAACATGTGCAACCATAAAATGGCAAGCACACTCTACAACGATTTACGTTCGCTAATGGAAAAACATGTACGCACCAATGTTGAGCAATTTCTTGCTGAATCAATGGATAGGTTTTTATTTTTGAAGAAAATGAATGAAACTTGGCAGGCGCATTGTCAACAAATGATAATGATTCGTAGTATATTCTTGTTTCTCGATCGTACTTACGTCCTACAAAATCCAAGCATTCTTTCAATATGGGACATGGGTCTGGAGTTATTCCGTCAATACATTTTGCAATACACGCTCGTCCAGACGCGAATTGTCGAAGGTCTCTTAATGCTTATCGAGCGTGAGCGCCGTGGAGTGACTGTAGATCGCACCCTGCTCAAGTCCCTGCTGCGTATGCTCACTGACTTACAGATCTACGAACAAGCATTCGAGCAGAAGTTCCTCATCGCCACAGAACGTTTATATGCGGCCGAGGGGCAACGCTTGATGTTGGAAATGGAAGTACCTGAATACCTAAATCACGTTGACAAACGCATTGCTGAAGAGAACGAACGCGTGCTGCATTATTTGGATTCGATTTCCAAGTATCAACTGATTCACACCGTGGAGAAAATGTTGCTGCGCGAACATATTAATAACATTTTGGCGAAAGGTCTGGACGGTTTGCTGGAAGAGAAACGTCTGCCTAACTTGACTCTGCTATACAATCTCTTCGGACGTGTGAAGAACGGACACTCTGAGCTATGTATAGCGTTTAATGCTTATATTAAGAAACGCGGTAGGATAATCGTTATCGAACCCGAAAAGGACAAAACTATGGTACAGGAACTGCTGGACTTTAAGGACAGCACGGATAATGTTGTGCAGACTTGTTTCAATCGAAATGAGAAGTTTGGGAATTCACTGAAGGAGGCCTTTGAGTACTTCATTAATCAACGTGCAAATAAACCAGCTGAATTGATTGCGAAATTCGTTGATTCCAAACTACGTGCAGGAAATAAAGAAGCAACTGAGGAAGAATTAGAGCGGCTGTTAGACAAGATAATGGTACTTTTTAGATTCATCCATGGAAAGGATGTATTTGAAGCGTTCTATAAGAAAGACTTGGCTAAAAGATTACTAGTTGGGAAGTCAGCCAGCGTCGATGCTGAGAAGAGTATGTTGAGCAAATTGAAACAGGAATGCGGCGGTGGTTTCACCTCAAAATTAGAGGGAATGTTTAAAGATATGGAACTGAGCAAGGATATTAATATTGCGTTCAAGCAGCACATCACCAATGCGAGTAGCCGTCTTGCCCAGCTGGAGATGACTGTGAATATTTTAACGATGGGATACTGGCCCACGTATACACCAATGGAGGTGAACGTGCCCGAAGAGATGGTGCAGTTTCAGGATGTTTTCAACAAGTTCTACCTCAGTAAACACAGCGGACGCAAACTGCAATGGCAGCCGACGTTGGGTCACTGCGTGTTGAAAGCGTGTTTCAAGGCTGCACAAAAGGAGTTGGTGGTGTCGCTGTTTCAGTCGCTCGTCTTGCTGTTATTCAATAATTCTGATGAGTTAGCTTTTGATTATATTAAAACGGCGACTAACATCGAAGAAGGCGAGCTGAAACGGACGCTGCAGAGTTTGGCGTGTGGCAAGGCGCGCGTGCTCAATAAGAATCCCAAGGGACGGGATGTTGGTGAAGATGATAAGTTTAAATTCAATTCGGAATTTACCAATAAGCTATATAGGATTAAAATTAATCAAATACAAATGAAGGAAACGGTAAGTAGTTGCAGGGTTTTAATTTGCAATGTTTTGTATGTTTTTTTAAAACTTTTTTTAAAGATGGAGGAGCAGAAAGCAACTGAAGAGCGGGTCTATCAAGATAGGCAATATCAAATCGATGCGGCAATCGTGCGCATTATGAAAATGCGAAAAACATTAAGTCATAATTTATTAATTAGTGAGTTGTACGTCCAACTTAAATTTCCTGTCAAGGTAATTATTTTTCTTTTCTTGATACTACTACTTCATTAATATTTTGGTTTGTAGCCTGCTGACCTCAAGAAACGCATCGAGTCGTTAATCGATCGCGATTACATGGAACGCGACAAGGACAATCCGAACCAATACAATTACGTTGCGTAAGGCGCAACTGGCTACGAATATCTCGAATCGAGGATTTGTTCGGTGACTGGATAAGGAAGGACAGCTGTTTAACCACCTATGATATACCTTTAATAGCTATTTTTTCTGAACCTTGTGAGAAATATTCCAGACATCTAGTCTTTTAATTTGTGAAATCATTTTCGGCACAAGCAAATTCACAGAAATATGACATCCGCCTTTAATTCCAATTATTATCATTCTTACGATGACAACTTGTAAAGTTTTGTGCTTATTGAAATTTTTGGGTATTTTAAGTGTGTACACGATTTCAAATACATATATAGTTTGTATTATTTGACCAGCAGGCAGGCAGGCGAATCGCCATCGATTCTTATTATATTCGATTTGTGTATAATTGGAATTCATTGGATATATTTAAATCTTCCTCGATAAGTTTTCTACGGACGTAACGAAAGCTTGGCGATTTTTGGAGTTATGTTGTAAATGAAATGTTAATAACGAAAGAATCGTGTGCTGGACGGTTGATTGTTCAAGAGATTTTTGTAACGGTAATAAAAACGAAAACTTACACGAACGATATTATTATTTATTTCATTTTATTACAACAATTCGACCTGTGCTACCCATTTATTTACTTTTTATTCTTCAATAAGTTTAGTTAGTATTACTGTATTGAACAATGACAATTACAAAAGTGGTAAGCATGTTAAAAACAGTGACAAATGATCTATACTCAATAATAAAGAATCTAGCTGCAGTCAGTTCTGGTTTGAAAGCTATGGCTTCCTTGGATAAATGTGTCATTTGCATCATCCACAACTTCTTGTAGTTAAACTCTTTTGATAAACCTGTTGTTATTTTCCGGTGACAATTATGCACAACTTTCTTTCCAAGAGATTTTATCTGGGAGCATTTCTTGACAACGAAAAACCAAGCCATCTGAAATACAAAACACACAGATAATATTTTATAATATCAGAATATTTTTATACTAACAATATTTCCAAAATTAACTAATACGCCTCGCATTGTTTTTCTAGCTGTACCATAAGTAAACAAATAAGGGATTATCATGATATCATTTAAAAATAAGCTGAAAATCAACCCAGTTGAAATAAAAAAGTATATTCCAAAAGTATCATTGAAGCAATTGATGATTTTATGTAATGCTTCTTGAATTTCCATCAAATCTGTAAGATCATTATTTATAATGATATTTTTGTTACATTTTGTTACAGATTCACTCAATGAGTGATTATATTTTGCATCTCCAGACAGTATCAACTTGGCATAACTTTCAAATCGCAATGATATATCTTCCAAAACAGTAAATACAAATACAATTATTAGGTCTTTAATAGCCTCACACCAAACTTCAAAAAATGTTTCAGCATTTAAGTCAAACCTGGGATCTATCCAAGTATGAATACTTATGAAACCATTTACCATAAATATGTATATAATAAAATACTTTGATGCGTTTTGTTTTTTGTGTGTGAACGAGCATTGCCTGGCAAATACTCCGTTGATTATTTGAAATTGTTGTTGCATAAATTGACATGAATTGTTACCCAACATGCTTATTTTTACAAGTACGGTGGTGATACAAAAGAGGTGACCAATTTTGATTGAAATCCACATAAACTTTCCTATTTCCAATAAGTGCGGGACAACCATGACAGCTTTTTGCACCACGGCAAAAATAAAGTATGCATGTATAATTAAGAGATGACCTAGTGAAATTATTTGATATCTACGAGGATGATTCTTAAACCAAAAGCCTGGAATGATTCCAATGAAACGGGCCAATTTAATTAAATTATTATCCATTTTATTCAAGGTTCTTGAATGATCAGAACTGTCAGAACTGGTTCCAGGGAAGTTTTAAATCTGAATAGTAAAATTACCGTGTTTACACTGCTTTTATAAATAAGAGTATTGAATTATTAACCAAGCGTTTACCATCCAAAACCAATAGGTACAGTTGTTTTCACATACAGAAGTAGCAACAAGTGAGAAAATATTTGTTCAAGTTGATAAGCATTGACGCACTTCATTTGATAGACAATCAATGATTACAATAAATATTGTAAATTTATTTCTATAGATTGATTTGTATCGGTATTAAATAACAGTAAAAAGAACATAAGTAGTTAACGTATTAAAAAGTTTTTATTATGCCAGAAATATGATATACAATGGGAATATTTTATGTGTTATTTATTCGCAACCTGCAGCATTGGGCCAGTCGCAAACTTGCAGTTTGGAGTTGAAATGAAGTCCAGCTGGGCAATCCTTCAACCAATTACCGTCGTTAGCGCAATGGCAGAACTTGGTGCAATCTCCTGGGAACAGATGGTTATTCTCAACGATAGGGAAAACATCAGGGCAGATGTTGTCGCAAAGCTGGGAAGGAGCAGAAGGAGTTGTCGGTCTTTCAGTGCTTGGAGTAGGACCAGTTACTTCGCAGTTTGCACTCCAGGGGAAGTCGCAGACGTCAGTTTCATCGTTGAAATGAAGTTCAGCGGCGCATTGCGCAATGGTAACGTTGCCATGATCACAGTCGCAGTATAGATTGCAGTCCAAAGTGTTGGAAGTTTTATAGCAGTCGTCTTTGTTGCATACAACATGTTCGCAACCATTTGGTGGGATGGCTGGTTCACATTGAGCATTTTCTGGGAAATCACAGTCCTTAGTGGCGGGATTGAAATGCAGACCTTCGGAGCATTCTTTAATAGTGATTACGCCGTGATTGCACTCGCAATAGGCTTGGCAGTCAGCTGTGTTTGGCTCGTCGGAACATTCGTCAATGCCACAGATTACATTTTCACAGCCAATTGGTTTAGTGGGTGGAGCTGCAGTACTGGTTGTTGTTGCGTTACTGTCACAACCGGCGGAGTGTGGCCAATCGCATACCTCAAGTTCGGGGTTGAAATGAAGTCCATCTGGGCAAACCTTCTCGTGATTTCCATCATTGGCGCAGTGGCAGAATTTGGTGCAATCACCAGGGTAGGGCAAGTGATTGTTATGGGTGATGGGGTACACGTCAGGGCAAACATCATCGCAAATGTTGCTTGGAATGGTGGTAGGTGCTACAGTGGGCTTTTCGGTAGGTTTTTCAGTAGGTTTCTCGGTTGGCTTCTCGGTTGGTTTTTCAGTTGGTTTTTCCGTTGGTTTCTCAGTTGGCTTTTCAGTAGGTTTTTCCGTTGGTTTCTCGGTTGGCTTTTCAGTAGGTTTTTCCGTTGGTTTCTCAGTTGGTTTCTCGGTTGGTTTTTCAGTTGGTTTCTCAGTGGGTTTTTCTGTAGGTTTTTCGGTTGGTTTAACAGTAGTTGAAGCAGTAGTGGGGGCAGAAGTGGTTGGGGATGATGTGGTTGGAGCAGAAGTAGATTCGCAACCTGCGCTATTGGGCCAGTCGCAAACTTGAAGCTCGGGGTTAAAATGAAGTCCATCTGGGCAGTCCTTCTCGTGATTTCCGTCGTTGGCGCAGTGGCAGAACTTTGTGCAATCACCGGGGTAAGGTAAATGGTTGTTGTCTTCGATGGGGAAGACGTCAGGGCAAACATCATTGCAAATGGAACTAGGAGTGGTGGTAGGAGCTACAGTGGGCTTCTCGGTTGGTTTTTCTGTTGGTTTTTCAGTTGGTTTTTCAGTGGGTTTTTCAGTTGGTTTCTCGGTTGGCTTCTGAGTGGGTTTTTCTGTAGGTTTTTCGGTTGGAGCAGGAGTAGATTCGCAACCTGCGCTATTGGGCCAATCACAAACTTGAAGCTCGGAATTGAAATGAAGTCCATCTGGGCAATCCTTTTCGTGGTTTCCATCATTGGCGCAGTGGCAGAACTTGGTGCAATCACCGGGGAAAGGCAAGTGATTGTTTTCTTCGATGGGGAACACGTCAGGGCAAACATCATTGCAAATGGAACTAGGAGTGGTAGTAGGGGCTGCAGTGGGTTTTTCGGTTGGTTTTTCAGTTGGTTTTTCAGTTGGTTTAACAGTGGTTTGAGCAGTGGTAGGGGCAGAAGTAGTTGTGGTTGTTGGAGCAGAACCAGATTCGCAACCGGCACTAGCGGGCCAATCGCAAACTTGAAGTTCTGCGTTAAAATGCAGACCAGCAGGGCAATCCTTCTCGTGATTTCCATCGTTGGCACAGTGGCAGAACTTGGTGCAATCACCTGGGAAAGGCAAGTGATTGTTTTCCTCGATGGGGAATACGTCAGGGCAAACACTATTGCAAATGCTGCTAGGAACGGTGGTAGGTGCTGCAGTAGGCTTTTCGGTTGGTTTAACAGTTGTTTGAGTAGTGGTAGGGGCGGAAGTGGTTGTTGTAGTTGGAGCAGAACCGGATTCGCAACCGGCGCTAGCGGGCCAATCGCATACCTGAAGTTCTGCGTTAAAGTGCAAACCAGCAGGACAGTCCTTCTTCCAGTTTCCGTCGTTGGCGCAATGGCAAAACTTGGAGCAATCACCAGTGTATGGCAAATGCCAGTTTTCCTCAATGGGGAATGTTTCAGGACAAACTACATCACAAACGGGTTCGGCCACTGGACCCTTGGCAGCAACGGCCAATTGCACGAGTAAGCATGCAGCCACGAATTGCACAAAAACTAAATAAATATATAATAATTAATAAAGATTTATAATTAAGTGTGTTTATTACTTACCTTTCATGTTGATTTAATTGAATATACAATTGGGAACCAATGAAAAGTTTTCAGGCTGTGACTATCGACAAGTTAGCATCACCTTTATATACAGGTAAGTTTTGGCGATAAAGATGATCCTAGACTTATAATCTAATCTTGAATAGACCGACTTTATTGTAGTTTACTTCATAAGCTCCGAACTATGGAACGGATTAGGCATATTTTTTAGTTACTGTTTTATTGCTTAGTTCGCGGAATTATCTTAGAAAATTAATTTAAACTATATTTTTTAATATTTTGTGAAGGTATTTTATTGCAAGTAATTATTGTAAAAAATGTTTTCCTTTTTGATTGACCCAATTATGTTGAAACTTCTTATTCTAATAAATACCTAAGCTTACATTGTTTATAGCAGAAAAAAATTAATTTCAAAACGGGAAAATGTCATTTTCAAATCAAGTGTTGAATTATTTAATTGTAATTTTATTATAAGGACGGTTTCTAGACGAAAGATGTAATTTGATTTTTTTTCAATAAGTAAGTAACGTGTAACGTAACGTGCAATACATGAATCGTAGTAATATAAGGAATTATGGATAATCCAACTGATATGAAAATTCCTGTGCTACATTTCTTTTAAACATTTTTTTTATATATGAAATATATTATTATAAACTAAAAAATTAATTTTTCTGTCTAGATTCAACACACATTACATTAACATTTATTAATATTATAAATATGCATTAATTATTTTGGTACAGTGTTAAATTGTATAATAAGTATAACATAAGTGGTTATCATATTAAACAGTTTAATTATAGTTGTATTGTTCAATTCAAAATATCCACCTGCGGTGAAGTAAGGACGCAAAACATTTGTTTCACTGGCTAACTCTGTTAGAAGTGTGAGATGCAAATTGTCACGTTCAAATTTATTACGCCGCAGCTGACGTGTTATTTGTTTACAACAATTGACGGCAGCTATCTTTCCAATTTTTTGTATCTGCATGCTTTTTGTTATTAGCAAAATCCATATCAACTAGAATTTAAACATATTGTACAGATTTATGATATTCACATGAAAGTTAAGTAAAAAAATACTCACAATGTTTACTGCATCTGAAATAATTTGTATAATAATTTGATTTGTTTCAAATAAATAGCCCCAATATATGCAAACCATCATATTGCATAAGAGTATTGTGAATGCACAAATTGTATAGATGAAAATGTAGAATCCAAACGTTGAATTAAGATAAGTTATAATATCATTCAGAGCTTCTCGCATTTGTAGTAAATTCAACAGCTTGACATTTGATTCATTACTGTTTTGTACATTTGTTATTGACTGTGATGCACAATTAGTTCCTTTCGTGATTAACATATAGAAAAAAGTATAGTATTGTTTCAAATGATCAAAAATACTTAACAGCAATAGAAAAAACATATTTTCTATATAATTACACCAGGTTTTCCAAATTTTAATAAGCATAGAGTTGTTTTCGTATCGAATTATATTGTAGGCAAAAACAACGATTATAATATGCGCTACTACAAGTTTGAACTTTCCATATTCTTTTAATTTAATGTTTTCAGAGTCCAGTATTACATCAAGTGTTTTAAAGTTGGCCATCATTTTCCTGAATGTCTGTTGTTGAATTAAATTTATTCGAATTATTGGAAAAGTTAATAATATAAATAATGGTTTAGTAATCAATATGATTGAATGATTAAGTTCTATTGACATTTGCATTTTTGAATTAAAATTATACAAGTATTCAATATAATCCCAAATTTGAAGTATGTACAATAACTGCATGATAATTATGTGAATAATTGTTAAAGTAGTGCGATACCAGGCATTGTCAGATCCAGGAATTAATCCGATTATAATGCACCATCGCAAAAAGTAGTTTTTATCCATGCTAAAATTTTATGTGCAGGAAGATATTAATTTACTCGGAATCTGAGTGCGTGTAATGTAAAGTGTTGTTTATAGTAGGTATACTCCTACATCGTGGACAATTCTTTTTAAATTATTAATATGTTATGTTCCAACTGTGTCTGTAAACAGAAAGGGTAGGTATATGTATGCATATTTAATGTTTTAATGTGTTATCTTTTTCTGAATATTATATAAAGAATCTCAAATGTGAATACTTGAATATGTTAAATATTTATTTTTATTTTGAAGCAATATAACATGTTATTTATTATTTAAATTACTCGCAACCTGCAGCACTGGGCCAGTCGCAAACTTGCAGTTTGGAGTTGAAATGAAGTCCAGCTGGGCAATCCTTCAACCAATTTCCATCGTTAGCGCAATGGCAGAACTTGGTGCAATCTCCTGGGAACAGATGGTTATTCTCAACGATAGGGAAAACATCAGGGCAGATGTTGTCGCAAAGCTGGGAAGGAGCAGCAGGAGTTGTGGGTTTTTCAGTGCTTGGGGTAGGACCAGTTATTTCACAGTTTGCACTCCAGGGGAAGTCGCAGACATCAGTTTCATCATTGAAATGAAGTTCAGCGGCGCATTGCGCAATGGTAACGTTGCCATGATCACAGTCGCAGTATAGATTGCAGTCCAATGTGTTGGAAGTTTTATAGCAGTCGTCTTTGTTGCATACAACATGTTCGCAACCATTTGGTGGGATGGTTGGTTCACATTGAGCATTTTCTGGGAAATCACAGTCCTTAGTGACGGGATTGAAATGCAGACCTTCGGAGCATTCTTTAATAGTGATTACGCCGTGATTGCACTCGCAATAGGCTTGGCAGTCAGCGGTGTTTGGCTCGTCGGAACATTCGTCAATACCACAGACTACATTTTCACAGCCAATTGGTTTAGTAGGTGGAGCTGCAGTACTGGATGTTGTTGCGCTAGCATCACAACCGGCAGAGTGTGGCCAATCGCATACTTCAAGTTCGGGGTTGAAATGAAGTCCATCGGGGCACACTTTCTCGTGGTTTCCATCGTTGGCGCAGTGGCAGAATTTGGTGCAATCACCAGGGTAGGGTAAGTGATTATTGTGGGTGATAGGGAACACGTTAGGGCAAACATCATCGCAAATGTTGTTAGGAATGGTGGTTGGTGCTACAGTGGGTTTCTCGGTCGGCTTCTCGGTTGGTTTTTCGGTTGGCTTTTCGGTCGGCTTCTCAGTTGGTTTCTCGGTTGGCTTTTCAGTTGGTTTTTCGGTTGGTTTTTCGGTTGGTTTTTCAGTAGGTTTCTCGGTTGGTTTCTCGGTTGGCTTTTCAGTTGGTTTTTCGGTTGGCTTCTCGGTTGGCTTTTCAGTTGGCTTTTCTGTAGGTTTTTCGGTTGGAGCAGGAGTAGATTCGCAACCTGCGCTATTGGGCCAATCACAAACTTGAAGCTCGGCGTTGAAATGAAGTCCATCTGGGCAATCCTTCTCGTGATTTCCATCGTTGGCGCAGTGGCAGAACTTGGTGCAATCCCCTGGGTAAGGCAAGTGATTGTTTTCTTCGATTGGGAACACGTCAGGGCAAACATTATTGCAAATGTTGTTAGGAACGGTGGTAGGTGCTGCAGTTGGCTTTTCGGTTGGTTTTTCTGTTGGTTTTTCTGTAGGTTTAACAGTAGTTTGAGTAGTGGTAGGGGCAGAAGTGGTTGTGGTTGTTGGAGCAGAACCAGATTCGCAACCGGCGCTAGCGGGCCAATCGCATACCTGAAGTTCTGCGTTAAAGTGAAGACCAGCAGGGCAATCCTTCTTCCAGTTTCCGTCGTTGGCGCAATGGCAAAACTTGGAGCAATCACCAGTGTATGGCAAGTGCCAGTTTTCCTCAATGGGGAATGTTTCCGGACAAACTACATCACAAACCGGTTCTGCTACTGGACCCTTGGCAGCAACGGCCAATTGCACGAGCAAGCATACAGCCACGAATTGCACAAAAACTAAATAATTATATTATAATTAATAACGACTTCTAATTAAGTGTGTTTATTACTTACCTTTCATGTTGATCTAATTGAATATACAATAAAGAACTGATGAATAGTTTTCAGAGAGTGCATTTGTCATGTTTCTACCATCCTTATATACTACTACGATATGACGATAAGGTTTATGATGGATTTAGCAACTAATCTTTCATATCGTCACATATTATAGTTTTTTTTTCTATTTTCAAAGCACTTTGTAATGGATTAAATTTATTTTTAAAATGATTGTTTTATTTGAATTACTACAAATTTATTAATCTACCGATTATTATTTGCAGCGTTTCCTGTCAAAACAATTGCGCTTGTAAATACTTAATGAATGAGGATTATGATAGAGATGTACAAGCAATTAAAATTCCGAAAAACGGATTAAAATAGTTCAAACAATTTTTCACATACTTTGAGTGTTTCTGAAGTACACACAAGTATATAATTTTAAGGGCAAAAAATGGTATGTATCAAATTATATTTAGTATTTATTTTTTATTGTAAATACTTAATATAGTACAACTTCAGAGGAAATTAAATTATAAAAACCAAATTTTCTAAATCGCTATATATTTATTATACATATATTACATAAAATCTCAGTCCTGAATTTAATAATAGACAAGAAAATATAGTGGAACCGGATATGACGCGTTTTGATGATATTTCCTTCTTTTTTAATCATGAATATGAAACGATCAACTGGCCATACTGATATGTAGTCATAGAAAATATACTGAATAAAAAAACTTTGTGACGTTTTAAAGTATTTAGAAAATTTAGGACAATGCCTTATTTTTCGCTTCTACTTCACCAAACGTTTTTTGACATTGAAAAGTATACGTGTAATTTAATGTCAGTCTCAACGTTCGTAAATCTAAACAAGTTATAATTGATTCTTAAATTAAATTTCATTATCGTTACAGAACCGCAGTATCGTCGGGTCGTTATGTTTAGCTAGGTTAATTGGCTTCGCGTGAACGTGCACATGTTGTATGCACCCTTCATATCCGGTGTAGTATGCAGTTGGCAATCCTGTAGGAAGTGATGGCGCACCTCCTATTAAACATACACATCAAACATTCATTAATCAATTAATTATAGTAAAATCTTTAAGATGTATACCTATCCAGAGCTTAGAATTTGTATTCAATGTAAAAGCACCACTGTCACTTATTCCCTTCGTTTCAGTTTGGTTATCCACTGATAAGAAACCAATGCGTTTCCGACGCCATACGTGAATTGTATGCCATTGGCCATCGTTAAGTTTTGTTTCAGATCTATTTGTAAAACAATCGCAATATATTATAGATATTTATATTTAAAAAAATCATTTTATTAATTACCTTATTGCCCAAAATGTTTTTTGTTTCCCTAGATTGTAGCTGAACTCAGGATAACCATTAATAATGGCTACAGATAAGTAATCATTCTTTAAACTCATATTTTTGCTTCTCCAAAGTATCAATCCATCAGCAACAAATGTTCGAAGTTTGATTTCATAACGATTTCCACGTTCACCTTTCCTCCTAAAATAAATTACAAAAATTATTTCAAGAAAATCACAAATCTACAGAAATAGATGATTACCCTGTTAAATTATTACTGTTAGTGTCATAGTTAGTATTCTCGTTAAAAGTATCAATGTCCTCCTCTTTTTCATCATCATTATCATCATCATCATCATATTGAAAGTCGTAATCATTATCTTCTTCCAGCGATGTTACATTAGAACTGTTTGAGTTAGTAAATGTTATTTGATTGCAGAAATTAATTTTTGATTATAAATTACCTTTTATATCCACGATTTTTAAATTGTAAAAATGTTTGTCCAGAAAATTTAATAGCAGTTTGTGATTTTCGCGTTTCACAATTAACGCCCTCATAATTTTCCGGGCATTGGCAACTGTAATCTTTAACATTAGGAATGCATACAGCATTGTTGAGGCATGGATTTGTTTCAACGGAACATGGCGACGCATCGTACTGCGCAATATCAAATCCACATCCTGATGAATTCACAGGGACAAACGAGCAACCCACTACTTTAGCAGATATTGGCAGCGGTGAGCCATTCACGAGGAATTCCCGAATGGCACCTCTAAAGCCTTTTGTCACCCCAGCTAAGCGATGCACCTCTTGAGTGGATCTATAAAGCAAATGACATTTTGTATTATAATACAACACACGTGTTAGTATGTATGCTGACTTACATCACAGAACCGATGTATAATGGAAGTTCTAAATTGAGTTCGGTGAGGGGCGCGCCCGAATATCCTTTCACAAGCGTGTTGTTGTCTAATTGCAAAACCCCTTCGCGGCCATTGCGGAACATGCGAACGCGATGCCAGCTGCCCAAAGTTACAACTTCCCTGGACCTACAAGACAATGATTAAGCAAACACTGTTCTATTTCCTAGCTGATGTATGCGTGTATAATTACGTGATATTAGCTATCCCGCTTCCGAGATTATACCGGAATTGTACGTGTCCACGCACGAGGGCTAAGGATATAAAATCACCGTGACCGTTTTTCATCTGTCCGTTGTATAGGAGTAATCCATTACGAACACGGCTCAAAAAGACAATCTCCAAGGTGAATGCTTTGCTAACACCTTCGAGTTTAGGAAATTGGAGGAAGCTTGACCCGTTGAATTCCGGAATGGAAATCTCTGTTTGTACCGCTGTGGAAAACCCAAAAATTAATTCAATCTTTTGTGGTATTCAACTAAATTTAGTTACCATGTTCACATGCATTTCCGGTTTGAGTCTGACCCGCGGGACATTTACAAATAGCTTTACCATTAATAGATTCGCACGTTGCTCCGGTCATACAATGTTTTGACTGACAAGGATCAGCAATATTCTCACATAAATTTCCAGTATATCCTGACCCATTACAATCGCATCGAAAAGAAACCACATCAACTGTGCGACACTCGCCGCCATTTTGACATGGTGAATTAGCGCATGGGTTTGCCCCACACTCATGCACACCTTCCGCCTTGACCACCCATTCGTCTCTGTGTTCATGAAGTTCAACAGTTCGACGATCTATCTTAAAGTTCCGAATGCACCCTTGTAGACCGCGATCGACCCCAATGTTCTCGTAAACCCTGTACAAACAAAACATAGATATATTGCTCACAAGTATAAACAATGCAATTAGTAATTAGTTTGCATTCCACTAACCTAGAATAATTGCTTGGAATGAATCCGACGAATGTGTCTTCGACAAGATCTAGCGCTCGTAGCGTTCCACTCGATTGACCTGCGACATTCTCTCCATTATCAAGCTGCAACATGCCATCTCTGTGATAGCGCTTCGCAGAAACATGATGGAATTTCTTCATTTCTACTTTTTCTAGAGAAGTGATTACTACAAGACCATCGCCAAGGTTGTAACGAAATTCGACGTATCCATTCACGATGGCCAATGATACAAAATCACCATGGCCATCTTCCTTCTGTTGATTGTACACCAATATGCCATTATTCGTGTAAGTTTTGAATTCTAACTCTAGGGTGAGTTTGTGGTACGCTTTCAGAGGTTTTAATCGAACGTATGAATGCCCGTCAAACGCGGGAATATTGTATCGTTGGTGCTCAAGTTCCGTTTCGCAAAATTCTCCTGTGAAACTGGGATGACAGACACAAGTGAAAGTTGCCGATGGTAGATCGACACATTTGGCTTCGTTAAGACACGGGGATGAAGAACAAGCACGGTATTCTTCTGTAGGATTTACATCAGCTACAAATAAATTATTTAGCTAAAACAATAAAAAAATTTAAAAAATACCTATGCATTCTTTCCTATCTGATGATTCTGAATAAGCTGGTATACAATTACATGCGCCTCTTACACAACTACTGAACATGATGAGGCAGTCTGAGTTATCGGAGCAAAGATCACCAAGAAGGGCAGTGACAACGCGAACCGTCGCTGGAGTTGGTCGAAAATCTTTTAAAATTAAAAAAAATATATCATTACGTGCATTTTTATTCTGGGTCTTTGATTTGACCTCACCTGAAGTATTATACAAGTCTTCATATGGATATTCTGAATTAAATGGTTTCCCAGGCTGTCCATTGGTCTTCCTGGCATCAACCGTAAAAGTTGCACCGTTTTTATTAAGTTGACCCGGGCGTTCATAGTAATACCTAGGATCGGGCATTAGTAAATGTCTAGTGGACTTGGACAATGGCGAATTGGAATCATCTGATTGCGTGTACTGCAAAGGAGTGTAACGACGCAAAGGCCAATCAGTTCCCGGAAACCCATCTTCTGTAAAATTACAAAACAATAAAATAAAATCTAAGCAAGATGAAGTTGAAGTAGTTGTACCTCTACAGGTACCAAACGCTTGCACCACAATATCTTTCTGAAACTGGCATGCCACTTGGCGTAATTTGCAAGCACTGGCATAGGTCTGACCATCGCTGCCACATACAATCTGAAAAGAAAACAAATGTTTATTAATACTATTGTATTATTATTCCGATGGCGTACTTGTGGATTGCTTTCCTCGGTGCACTCGGAATTGCACTCGCAGCTGGCAAATCTTCCGCGCTCGATACAAGCCGCCCCGAAATGGCATGTCAATTCTTTGCACGTCGCGGGCGGTGGCGCACTGAGGTCAGCTACAAAAGAAGGCAAAGGAAGCGGTAATAAATGTCGCTTGGCATTCTATTGACATTTTACCTGGCACGCAGCCATTGGGGCCAAGCACTCGATCGTGTTGCGCACACACCGTACACTTTTGTCCCTGTATGCCTGGCTTGCACACGCAACGTCCAGTCATCTGCTCGCAATCATCACGCACCGAGCCAAAGGTTGAACAACCGCACGCTGTAAGAGGTTGTTCATCATCAGAGACATTGAGGGTAAATTGACCAGTTTGTCTTACGTATACAGCCGTGATGGCCGGATGAGATTTTCGGCAGGCCCCAATAACCGGGTTCGCAACGATCGCATTTTTCACCACCGACGCCGGGACGACACCGACACTGTTGGGTGTCCGGGTCGCACGTCTCCGAATACGATCCGAGCTTATTGCACCCGCACGTCGAGGGGCAGCCGGCGTGATCGACGCCCTGGGCGGCTGTTCGCCCGTCCGGGCAGCATCCGAACCAGCTGTCCTCGCAACCTTTTTGCGTCAGCTCGCTTTGATCTATCAACATTTAATGGAATCATGTGCATGCGCCGCTCGTACATCACATCCGAATGGTGTAGACATACCTTTGTAGCAGCATCTTGCAAAGCGCGCCGTTTGGTGACAGTAACTATCGGACGGACAGTCCTGTCGATTCGGCCCGTTGCCGCAGTCCAACTCTTTACCAGTCAGCTCATCTAGTAGTGGTGATTCTCCATTGCAAGGCTTCACCTCCATGCCTGCAAACACACCAACAAGTCCGATGATCACGTCTTCGAAAATTAGTTTCCGAATTAAGTTAGTTATTTCATGTTAGTAAAAGATGGCAAACCTTCGCAGAGGTCAAGTGGCCGTATTCGCAGTTCTTCCTGCCGATGACACGCTTCCATTTTCATCGCACATAGCGATTCATACATACGTAAATCAGAAGCACACACAGGCTTCGTTTTTACTGCACCACAATCAAATCGGCAGGTGCAACGAGGAAAATTATCCGCGGCGAGTTCGCATGTCGCCTCGAAGTCGCAGTGTATATTACGACATGCTTCACGCTCGGCGTATGAGCGCACAAGTCCACTTAAATTTTCGCTGCCGGCGGGAAACTCACTTTCCGCCTCTGCGATCGCACTAGTGGCTATGACGCTACTCGACGCAACGGTTGGCGATAGAGTCGCTATGAGTTGCAAGGTCGGCAGTGACAGTTAATTATTATATTAGTGCATTATGGAACTGAATAAGACATAGATATTGACTTACGCAGGGCTGAGCCGGGCACCGGAAACCGCTCTCGGCAGTCACCGTAGAACGCGACGCTGAGTGTTTGATTAATCTGTGGGGAGCATGAGGCTTTTTGCATATGACACTCATTTGGGTACGTCACCATATTTGATGCGCAAACAAGCTCGTCGTCCGATCCTTCGCAATCTGTCGGACAAACGCATACACCGGCTTCGCAATGCGCGCCGTATTTGCATTCAACCCCAGAGCAAAGATCTGGAATGGTTTGTTAGGTTGGATAACATTGTGCACGATGGTGACTGGGTACATTAAGTTACTGTAGCTTACCACAATTGCCATTGTACGCGGTTATAACGTATTGTTTCGTCTTGCACGAGGAAATTCTGAGGTCACATTCGTTGGCGTAGGTGACACCGTCTGTTCCGCATACGGTTCCATTACGCAGCTATCAATATTTTAATCAAATAAATTTTTTTTTGACCGGTAAGCTAGGAGATTTATTTTTTTATTTACCTTTATGTCTGAGCAGAATTGTGGACACACGCAACGTCCTTCAAGAAACCCATCGCTTTCGCAGGACGCATAAAAGTCACACTTTTTACTCTCGCACTCGCCTGCAAACAAATAAATTTCTTCAATGCCCAAGGAAACGTTTGCATTAGCTGTTGCCTTACTGCATGGACCCTTGTACAAAACCGCAATTTCCTTGCGACGCAGACAGGCTTCCCGCAGCAGCTTGCATTCGTTGCCGTAGGAAACTCCATCGGAACCACAAACCGGCTCGAATTCGGCGGAGCATGCGGCCGGACACTCGCAGAACGCTTTTCCGAGTCGTTCCACGCAGGTTGCGCCGTACTTGCACTCGTAATCGCTGCACGGACTAGTCCCGCCGCAAACGCCGACGTGGCCGATTTCCACGGCGACCCTTGCCAGGCATCCAGCGCGAATCAGTTCACATTCAGAGGGATACGTCCTGCCATCCTTGGCGCACACCGGCCGCATGACGGGCTCGCACGCCAGCGGGCATTCACAGCGCGCGATTCCAAATTTGTCAATGGCACATTCTTCCCCTAGCAGGCACTGAACGCTTTTGCAGGGATTCGCACCTGCACAAACAACCACACACCCACCCACATACATTTACTTGCTATCGGAAGGCAACGAAGCAGGGGAAAAGCAATGGAGATGGAAAACATCAACAATACCTGAACTGCATTTGCCGCGATAAATAATATTTAATGTTTTACGTGCGCGGCAGGCCTCCTGCCTCAGGGAGCATTCGTTGGCGTAGGTTTTCCCGTCGGAGGCGCACACAGGCGTGAATTCCAATGGGCATACGTCGCCGCACCGACACACCGGATTGCGATGTTCGTCTAGCTGGCATATTTCAGGTTCCGGGCATTGTATTCCCAAGCATGGGTCTGGAGCACACAAGCACACAATTCATCCGTTTATAAATACTTATTATTTCGTTTTATTTTCATTTTTAAATGAAAATATTTATCTTTTAAATACTTCTTTACACGCCAAGCAATTTTTGTACATTGTTGATTCCTGTGAATACTTACCGCATTTTCCAAGAAACTTAATCGTGACATTAATTTTCGACTCGCAGGCAGCACGCTGTAGCTCACATTGGTCCTTGTAGTTGACGCCGTCGCTGCCGCAGACCGATCGTGATCCCGGATGATCTCCGTAGTTACGGCAGTTCTCCGGACACCGACAGCTCGCGTTGTGGCCGTCTGGGGAAGCCACGCAGTGCGCCCCAAAACCGCATTGCTTGTCCTTGCAAGGATCGTTGCGCTCTGAAACGCGCAAAGGAACCATTAGCTCTACCATACTATTTGCCTGACACCTTATCAAATATCCCACAAAAGACGAACGTTCTCAACTTTACTCAATAATCTCGGAAATCCTCAAAGTAGGGTCACGAACCTAATGGGAACAAGTCAATTAAAAATTCCACATCGCTGATGAAGAATCTTTAATAACTAATGAATGCAGTAGCGGATTACTCGTACAGGCGTACTTTGTTGAGATTCCAAAGCGAAATAACTCGGATGCGTTGCTATTTAGAAAGGGATCTGCATTAATTAGTCAGACTGCACAAAGGAGGCAAAATGATAACAGGATCCTACCGCACTTTCCGGGATGGCTGACTTTGGTGTTGCGGCGGGCTCGACATGAGGCCACACGCAGCTGGCAGTGGTTGTCGTACGTGCGCCCGTCGCTGCCACACACCGGTTCACCCTGCGGACGGCAGTGCGTTGGACATTGACACACCGCACGCCCTTCGGTCCCCGTCACGCATTGCGCGCCCCACGCGCAAAAAGTCTTCTCGCAGGATTCTACCGGAATGCCAAAATGCACACAAACCTGTTAGTCTCTGTTAATCGTCATCAAAGCAGCGCAAGCAAATGGATGCAAAGGTTTTTCCTCATGCACACCAAATTGAATTAAAACACATTTTCAGAAATTCAAAGAAAAACTTTTATGAAATTAATTTAATAAAAAATTGGTTTAGTGGACTTTGTACGTCTAAATATTTAAACATTTTATACTGTCATCAATATAAAAGAATACGTATTATATCAAACGTGTATCACTAAAAAAGAACAACATGGCAGGCAACATGTGCATTGAAACCATTATCGTAAATATCTTACAGGTATGTAGCAAGGCGTGTGGAAGCACTCTTGAAGAAAACCAAAGCGTACATCGCATGCTTTTATATTTTATGTTGTTTTAGTGCCTCGTAAAGAACCACACCGACGAGAAAAAAAAAACATCACAAGCTTGCGATAAATTGTTTGTTCTTTGATAATTGAATTTTGAATACTCCTAGCCACACAAATCTCAATTACTGCGCCATTACGTTCCAGAATAGAGTTAACTTCAAACGTAAATAAAAACAAAGCAATACTTCAAACGCTACTTGCGCTTTGTGTTCGATAACACAATCATGGATGCATGCACATTCATGCGTAGGCAGTTTGATCACGTTTTGTTTAAAGTGTATTGTATTGTGTATTGTTTAAAGAAGCGCACGCAGTGAAATGTAGCACTGTCATGATGGTATTACAGCAGGGCGGGATAGGGCGCGTGTTATTTGAGCGACGGATAGATTATCTGTTGAGCGCTGAATATTCTGAAATTCGAGTTCGGCCGACCTAGAAATTGAAACGGCGCACGAAATTTCTAAGCCCCGCTCAGTGTAACGGGGTTGCAATTATTTTCGTTGAAAATGCATAATTAGTCTTTGCCAGCGGGAGAAGCACGCCAACTGGCCATTACATTTAATTTTTCATGTCTAAAACTAAAAACTTACTTTGCCTAAAGTCCCATTAAACTCTGAAAACATAATCTCGTTATTGTGATAATAGAAATAGTTTGGTCTTCTTGACAGTAAATACACTGAGACAATCATTTGAGATTTGCATATTACATTTCCAGAAATTGCTATTATCATCAAAAATGCTAATTAAAATTAAAGATTCTCCGACGTTAATAAAACTGTCATTTTTTATGTGTTCCGTCTGTTGAAGACATTAAATTAGTACATGAATGAAAACGCAGCTGAAGAAATAGATGTAGACTGCGTCTTAACCTAAATTGTAATTATAAACTTACTCAAAGTTGGGAAAAAGTTTAATGCAAGCTTTTATTAAAATTGTTTTTGAGAGTGTCGCTGCTGATAATTTGTTCAAAGAAATAAGTTATATAAATACAACGTAAATTTGTTTTCTGCACTATGAGTTTCAAAAGCTACTCAAACACCAAAAGAAGCTTTTTATTTATCGTTGAACACAAAACGATGTTATTTTTGTACACGCTTAATTCCCTGAACCAATTTGCAATGATATTAATGCTGGAAATTTTGTGCAATAAAATGCTGAGGCATTTTTGTTTTATATTTCATTTTCTCAAATTAAAATTTCCTTCGTGCGCCGCATTTGCTCTCGTTTTTTTCGGCTCGGGCCACTAAGCGCCGACGACAAGCAGGGGGTATGTGTACCCGTCGCATCAGGGGAATACTGCGGGCAAATTAATGTTGATGAGATATGCCTGCATAATACGCTACGTGCGAGACATTTGCATTCTACGTGTAGGTATATATTGTGACGTCGTTGGAGCGTTCATGCTGGCGGAGATAACATAAAATTCAAATTAAAATCATCCACTAATGCCGCCGCCAGGTTTTAACACCATTTCTATTATGCAAATAAAGTTGGATGTGTCGCCATGCAGGTGGGTGAATGCATCGTCGCTCTAATTTATCTCAATTTCATCTAGGAGCGTGCTAATGGTGACACCATCTCGCAAATGCGATAGGTAATCATATTGTCGCTGGGTTTTATTGGAAGCTTTTGTGGAGCTAATTTCATTACGAAATTTTCGCGCAAATGCAAAGCAGAATTTATGTTAATTTGACACATCAAACAATATTTCCGAAATATTTGTGGAAATAAATAAAATTCAATGCTTACGTAAGCAATTGATGGATAATTTTAATTTTGCATGCGTGGAAAATCATGCAAACTTTATGATTGCGCCGTTTTGCTCTAAATACCCAATTCGTACCAAATCAAAAGAGATAAAAGTTTCAATCACACGGTTTGTTAGCCGACTCTCCTTCATTAGCCTATGCGGAATAACAAAGCACGAAAGAGGAAATTGTTAATTGTCGACATTCGGCGCAGCGCGTATGCGATATGCTCACTTTGCATATTTATGTTTTCCGGAATCGTAATGGCCTTTATCTACCCGCCTGCAAAATACGCAACAACATAATTATAACATCGCTTTCATCACGTATCTGCTATAAAGCGCCGAGCGCTGAAATATAAATTACGCCAAACGGCACATACGCAACGCAAATCGTACGTTATTGTTATCCGCTTTTTCAGCAATTTTTGTTAAAACCAAACCCGCTTTGCAGCGAAATTTACCAAACGATTGAATCGCAAAAAATATTATACGAGCTGATGCGACTTTCTATAAAATGCACATTAAAAGTGGATATATTTTCAAATTTTTGATAAGTCAGTGTGTGTGTTTCCCCTGTATTCCGGGAGCTATTCAGTTATTTAAACAATCCCATTATCATATGATAGATATAAAGTTCTTCTATAAGTCGCATATATTCCCGATTCTTTAACCCTTAATGAGGTGCTTTAAAATACCTGTTAAATATTGCTAGTTTTTCAATTTTTTGAAAAGTCTGGGTGGAAAACATCCCTATTCCGGAAACAAATGGGGTAATTTGAATTATCTTATATTTATATCATAGCTAAAGAGTTTCTCTACAAGTTAGGTATTTTACCGACTCTTCAATCCCGTGGAAAGTACCCTAAAATACATATTAAGGGGTACTATTTTTTTAAATTTTGAAAAGTTAGTATGGAAAACACCCGGTATCTTAGGAACCAATCAAATAATTGGAATTATTTTATTGTCATATGATAGCCAAAAAGTCCCTCTATCAGACCATTAGTTTCCCTATCCTATAAACCCTTAGATAGGGCCCTAAAATACCATTTATATGTGACAATCTTACAAATTTTTGAAAAGTTATTGAGGAAATCGCCCTGTATCTCAGGAACCAATAAGGTAAATTGCATTATCTTAACGTCATATGATAGCCAAAGAGTCTCTCTACAAATTGCTTAACTTTTCAATCCTTTAAACCCTTTGGAAGTGCCCTAAAATATCTTTTAAAATTTAAAATGCTCTGTAGCTCGGGAACTAAGGAAGAAATTTAAATGATTTCAATGTCATATGATAGCTAAAAAGATGCTCTACACGCTGCGTACCTTTTTGACCCTTTAAAACTAGAGAAAGTACACTAAAATGACCTTTAGAACTTGTTGTTATTTTTACAATTTTTATATATTTGTGTCGAATATAGTGCCAATTTGAGACGACAGAGGGCGCTCAACGTGTTCAAGAAAAATAATTTCGGCTGAAAGACAGGGTCGAACTTTTTTTAACAAAATTATTATCTGTCGAACAACAGGGTCGGACTTTTTTCTTAAAATTTTTCAGGTCGAAAATATCGAAGGGCCCCTCCACCAACAAAAAATTTAAATGAGCAAATGATAATTATCGCGAGAACTAAAAGGGCTTGAAGAAAATAAACTTCATATTCTGGATCCTAGATGAATTCTCAACAAGATGGCATCCTTATTGAAAAACGACCAAGATGGCACAAAAAATTTTTAAAGAAAATATTTTGTTATAAAAAAGGCAAAAGATTTCTCTTTTTTATGCTCGAAATTAAAAGTTGGAATTTTTAAATTTTGTTTCCGGAATTTAATATATAATTTAATTCTACATCGATTATTTTCGTATCATTTTTTGCTAACATTAACCGTTAAGTCCCTATTTGCCAATTTTAATGAAAACTGCATTTGACATAAAAAAGAGAAATCTTTTGCCTTTTTTATGACGAAATATTTTATTTCAGCAAATGCAGCTTTTGTAATAATTGGAATTTTTTAATTCTGTTTCCGGATTCTGAAAATAGTTTAAATTCTGAATCGGAAACTAGTAACACAGTTGTATATTAAGGCCCTATTGGCATGTAAAATCAAATTTTTGCATTAAAATTGCAAAAATGGGCCTAAAAGGTCAATTATATTCTGTTTTCGGTTTCTGCAAGCTAATTTAATTCTATATCAACTATTTAAGTAATTATTTGCCTAGCATTATCCCTATATTCCCTATTAATCATAATAACTCATGGAAATCCAACAAAAATCTGGCGGGAATTGTCTATGTCCACTTTCTGCGTTCCTAATATCACGAACTGATGAGCAGCTCAATTTTCGTATTTTCTCGACAAAATTTTGTTGAGAAATCCGATGAAATTCATACACAAAATCTTTTGAATATTAGGATCGCAGAAAGTGCGAGTAGGCTGCTGAATTAATGATGAAACTTATTGTAACACCCAGTGGCGGCATAATTTATTTATTCATAAACAGATGGCGGTGGTGCCAATAATAATAGAATTCAATTAGCTTTCAGAATCAGAAAACAGAATATAACATTGACCGTTTAGGCCCTATTTGCAATTTTAATACAAAAAATTGGATTTTACATGCCAATAGGGCCTTAATCGTTAATTGTGTTACTGATATCCGATTCAGAATTTAATCTACATTCAGAATTCGAAAACATAATTCAAAAATTCCAATTATTACAGAAGCTGCATTTGGTGAAATAAGATTTCGTCATAAAAAAGGCAAAAGATGTCTCGTTTTTATGTCGCATGGATACACGATATGTACCCTTTCGAAAGTGCCCTAAATTTTGAATTAAAAATAGTCATTTGTGTCCATTACAT